TTTATTGCTGAAATTGGACGGTTAGAGTCAAATGATACCCTAACTTATAAATCACAATGATATCGTTTGTATAGCATGGCATGAGTCTTATCTAAAGGTTCGAGATTTTGGGTGCTAAAGATGTCCCATATATTTTCTAATATGTAAACCACATATTGCTATCTAAAAAAGACAGACATAAATTTAAGATCAATATTGTATTATGAAAGAAGGATCAGAACATTGCCCCTTCGAGGACTAGAAGCATATTAGGAATAAGAATCTCCTGAGCTCAAACATCTTCAGATCGGAGGAACGCTAGTAAACCAATAAAATCTCCATTTACCTGATCAGCTACCTCCCGACTCAACTGCCCCTTGAAACCTTTCATTCCTAAGAACTCTCCGTCTTCTTCATCTGCAGCAGCTGCTTCTGCATCTACTTCCTCCTCTTCCTTCATGCGTTGGTGCATTTCTCCCATGTCTTCAAAACTAGAGCCAGAGGTGTCATCCATGTTTTCCATATCAATTACAGCAGAGCCCCCACTCTGAGTAACGCAAAAATAAACAAGCAGCTCAAGACAGAGTAACGCAAAAATAAACAAGCAGCTCAAGACAGGTACACAATCATCCTCTCTTAACAAGAACTATGGATCACACCCCCCCCCAAAAGCCTCAAAGAAAAAGGATCCTGTTAGATCATGTCCATCAGGAAAAGGTATAGAATGTTACAAGAATAAGAATTACTCCCAGTTTCGGATTTCATATTAATTTATGTAGCTAATAAAGACTACTCAAAGAGTAGGAAAAACCCTTTTTGTCACTATTTGCTATATTCTTCCATACATGCTGAGTAAATTTAATAACAGGAAATAATTAGAGATTATTACTGGAATTTATGAAGAAAAGCTCCATTTATAGGTGCAAGAATAAGTATTGATAAAAGTGCTGTTTTCAACATCACTAAGTAACCTTGGAAACTATTACAACATAAAAATGTAACAGGCTAAAGAAAAGTCTAAGGTCAGAGACAACATTGCTACGCAGCTCAAGAAACTCCTGAACCGGACCACAAAGTATCTTACAAGAGTCTGGCTTAGAAATTGCAGGTGATATGGAACACAGCTATGAGGCTATGGCCCACTGGGGATGGGATCCTAGGAATTAAATCATTCCTATAATATCATTGTTTTAGCATTTTATTAGGCCAGGTCTGGTCTGTCTCTGAGCTAAACTCAAATTAGTATACTTATTTTTAAGTCTCTATGATGGCCTGGGCAATAGATATTGAAGAAATTCTATCTACCTGAAAGGGAACACACACAAATTGTTATCTGCGTAGACTTGCCAGGACCTAGAGAACAGCCTTTTTCAGACATTCCACACATTTGTGGATCTTTTGCCCGGTCTCCACTTTTAATCCTTTTTTTAAGATTAAACAAACTGTATTTCTGTTTTCCTAGGCCTTAGAATCTTCATTTTTTGTACTCCTTAAAAATATTTCAACTGCCTCTTCCTCAGTTGGGCCCAGTGGGCTCCCTTCAGCAAATGAGGCTCTGTTGCCCTGCAATGTTTGTCTTTATATATGCTCATTCTTTTCCTGTTTTTATGTTTGATTAAACTGAAATCACACAAAGCACTCAGAAAATATGTCCCGAGAATGAAAGGTAAAACCATATGACAGAAAAATAGAGCTTTTAACTGAAAAGTAAAAAAAAGAGGCAGTTGATAGAGTTATTATATCTGGACTGCAAAAATCCAGACAATTACTAAAGGCCATCAAGGAGATATAGAACATGCTAACTTTTTGCTTCTATCTGGCAGCTGCCCAGTTTCCTGCAGCCCAAAGATATATATTGAACATGTATCTTTAGACATAGTATTTACCTTAAGCTGAAAGAAAACCTAAATTGGTTTAGGGGTAAATTGCTCCATTTGCAAAATCACCACTCAAATGAAAAATACCACTACTGTTCTACTCAGAAACATATATTCCCTTTTGAAAGCATGCACTGCTTTTCTGTTGATTAGTATGGTACAATGGCAGTATACTGTGAGTATACAGTTTAATTTAGTGGTTAAAGCACAAGAATAGAAACCAAGAGTTTCTAATTTTAGTTTTGCCTTAGGCATTAGAGCTGGAAGACTTTGGACCAGTCACTCCCTGTCAGCCTTACTCACCCATTAGGTTTTTTGTTTTAGGGAAAACAGGAGAAGGAAAGAGTATCAGGTATGTTCACTACCTTGAATTATTTATAAAAAATATCTTTTAAGAAGTGCCCAAATTTTGATCACATGACAGCAGGAGTTCTTTCTTTCAGTGCTGTCATAACTTTGAGTGGTTGTTGAACGAATGCTCATAAAACAAGGACTACTTGTAACGTATTGTATCATAAACTGCCCTTTCTTAAATATAAGTAGGCTCTTCTCGCCTCCTCTCCATGTTTCTATCACAACACTGAGGCAAGTTACTACACTGTTAGCAAAGAATGCTGGGCAAGACACTTTATTACTAAATTAAATACAGAATAAACATTAATATTTATTGCTTTGGGGAACTATATAATTAAACCTGCTATTTTATACAGTATAGTCTGATGGACAATTTGTTAAATAGAAACATCTGTGTTTAACCAATAGTTACCACTGAATATTAAATGTTTTCTATAACGGCATGATAGCGAGCAATTGCATACTGCAAAAAAACAAACTTATGCAAAATCCAGGAAAAAACAAAGAAATAGTAATCAAAGATCTAAGGGGCAAGGTAAGAAAAAAAAACAACTAAAATTTAGTTTGCATCAATTCCATTTACTGTTTGACCATTTCATACTCTTCTATTTTTGCAAACTTTTTTTTGCTTCTGTCCATACCCAGTGCTTGCTGCATTTTACTGTGTAATAGTGTTTCTTAATTTTTTTGTACTTGTGGCCTCTTCCCACTTTTAAAAATTATGGAGAGCCCCAAAATAACTTTTGTCAGTATGTGTTATATTTATCAATATTTACTTATTAAAAATTAAAACTGATCCATATATAGAACATTTGTGTATGAATCATGTACAAATAACAATATTAAACTCATTTGTTGTTAATATTTTAGATGAAAAAACTTTTTTGACAAACAAAAATATAGTAAGAGTGAGCTTGTTTTAAATATTTGCAAATATCTTCAAGATCTGGCAAATAATTTTGATTTTGCAGATCCCTCAGAGGGTCCTGGAGTTACACTTTAAGAAACACTGCTCTAATGCATTCAACATTATGGGTAAATTTTTGAGTCTTGTGCAACTATGAGTGTAGCAAAGGCAACAGAAATGGATGACAGAAATGTTTCAAGAGCCTGGTTGGACTGGCAGAAAGGCCAATAACAAACAGGTTGGGCTCCTCCCTCTGAAAACTGCCAAATGTTCAGTAAGTTTGGCAAACAAATGGCCCACACAGAACAACAATGGAATGTGTATTGCTGTCTTTTATTAGTCCAATAACCAAACCAAGCACAAGCTTAAATCTAATGTTGTGAATATCTTTTCAGCCGCATAGTTGTCCAATTCTACCTGGAAACCAGGAACTAAGCTTTCGCAAGGCGCTTGCAAAACAGCTAAGCAGCAACTTGACAGATTGGATATCTGTGACTGGAATCCAGCCTCTTCCTCCACAAACCGCCTTTGGGACCTTTCCCTTGTATTTATTTTGCTGTGAACCGTTCACAATTTCTGCTCATTCGCACAAAGTGCAGGAACTCTCTTTATGGACTCCCTCACAACACACTGCTTGAGTTTCAAGACAGATGTCTGGAGTGTCAGGGGCGTCTCCTGCGTCCCACAGACAACACAGGCACACTTCCAGCCTTGTTAAGTCTTTATTTTTATTTCATGTTTCTTAGCTGCCCTTCTCCCACATGGGGGGGGGCTCTGGGCGGCGTACAATATAATGCAGTAGTCCTCAACTTACAACAGTTCAGTTAGCGACTGTTCAAAGTTACAACAGCATTGAAAAAAGTAATTTATGACCATTTATCACACAACCTTTGCAGCATCCCCATGGTCATGTGATAAAAATTTGGACACTTGACAACTGACTCGTATTTATGACGGTTGCAATGTGTGGGTGTGTGTATCATGATTAGCTTTTGAGACCTTCTGACAAGGGGGACAAAGTCAATGGGGAAGCCAGATCCACTTAACAACCACATAGCTAACTTAAGAACTGCCGTGATTCGCTTAACAATTGGAGCAAGAAAGGTCGTAAAACGGGACAAAACTAACTTAACAAGTGTTTCACCCATTAATTTTCGGCTCAATTGTGGTCGTAAGTCGAGGACTACCTGTATAGGTGTTCCCAAAGCAGCCCAGGAACCGGGTGACGGCGGCTCCGAGGAAGAGAGCCGAATTCGAATTCGGAATATGGATTCCAAGAAAGAACAGACGGGAAAGTATCTACCCGACCCAATCCCCTTACCTGCATGTTGTCTTCGAAGGCTCCCCACTCCGCAGTCGCCGTTGTAGCCCCACTCCTCGCTCCCCCAGCGCCCGCGGTTGCTCCGGGGTCGGACATTTCCCCAGCAGCGGCTGCGGAGGGACAGACGCCCCCACCTCGCTAACGGAAGAGCCGGGGACCGGGGACCCGACCGAAGCAAGGCGGAAAGTGCCCGGATGGAGCAAAGCCAAAGCAAACCCACTCGGGGGCTAAGGAGCCGCACGGGGGACGTGGAGACTCGGGTGTTCTCGCGAGGTTTCTTAGAGCTGGCCTGACTAAGGTGCCATCTTGGTAGTTCCAGACACACCAGAGGAAATAGGAGCGCTTGAAAGGACGGATAATGACGGACAAACAGAAAAGCGGGAAAATCCCCAAGGCCTCTCATATACGCGGTCGAAATGTCATCTTTACGCGTAACTCTAAAGCACGCCGCCACAAAAGTGTATCTTAGAAAACGCCACACATAACATGGCGGCGCACCGCCATCAGCTTCCGTTCTGTGGGAAAAGACGCACAACCGGAATTCGAATATCACGTGAGATGGGAGGTTTTTCCTGCTCGATGGTAAGACATTGGCGCTTGCGCATTGGACTTGGCTGCACAGGAACGCGTTTGCTGAAGGATGGCAGCACCCGGGAGCGTGGAAGAGATGCGGACTCGCGTGGTTCTGGGCGAATTCGGTGTTCGCAATGTAAGCGAAAGAAAGCAGCGGGACGGGTGGAGCGACAGTGTTGTCTGGCCACGAAGCAGGTCTTATTAATGATTTGAGTGGATGTTTCCTGGACAGAAGCGTGAGTTGTATAAAACAATATAAATCTAGTGCAGCTGAATGAATGAAGAAGCGCTACTTCGAACACTGTCCTTACAGAGGACAGGATTTGGGAATTTTGTCTGGGATATTTAATTGTGATTTGACACTTTCCCCAGATAAGTGCGGTTATTGCTTGAATATGCACAGAACTCCACCAGTTGTCTTGATAATTCTGTAAAGCGATTTTTTAGTAGTCATCTTGCTTTTGAATTTGGAAACTACCGTGTGCTGAAATAAGTCATTAGTTTACTGAACACATACCCATATAGAAAACACCGGTTGGCAACTGCTCAGGATTTCAGCTCTATTCAGGGATTGAACCTGGCACAATCTGCTTTTTCTATCAAAGAGTTACCAAGTCTTTCTTTATCTCCAGGTCCACACCACAGATTTTCCTGGGAATTATTCAGGATACAATGATGCTTGGGATCAGCAAAGATTTGAAAAGGTGAGAAAGAAGTGATTCTTTCTGTTAAGCAGTTTATAAAGTCAAAAATTGCTTCTTTCCTTGGAACGGTGGTCTTTCTAACTTTACTTGATAACAAATCAATGCAAAACACTATTTTTGAATCTTATTAGCTTGTCTGTAGTTTGGTTCAAGCTGTAGTGTATTTTCAAATGCAGATATTGCTTGTGTTGGGAAAAACTTAGTTCAGTTTCTTGCTGTTTATGAAAGATGTGCACAAGCCATTTTCTGTGCTCATCTGACTGGAAAAACTGGGAAAAAATGTGAATTGAATAAATCAATGTTTATAGAATATTTGTAAAATATCTGAATATTCAGGATTGATAATGACATGAACATTTAATTGTATGGTACCGGTAAGACTTTTTCCTCAGCCTGGTGACCTCCAGATGTATTGGATCATATTTTATTAATTACATCTTACACAGCCAATAGATGATATTCAGTGTATGTAGCAGGGTTTGATTTAAAGAGGCTACCATTCAAATAGATTTGGTTATAAAAATAATTGTTGTCTCATACTATTTGTCAGCAAAACCTTTCTTTAACCAAAAGAGGATGCCTATAGATGCCTGTTTTCAAACTTTGTTTCCACAGAATTTCAGAGTAGATATGATCCATATGGATGAAAGTACTTTGGAATTTGACATGGTGGGGATTGATGCAGCCATTGCTAATGCTTTCCGGCGGATCTTGCTTGCTGAGGTATTGGTTTTTGTCCCACAGAAATAAAGTAATGCCAGCATAGTCATATTGGTATTTTAATGCATAGACATATTCTTAAAAGGATCACAATATTTGCATTGAGAAGGATTGTTCAAAGATATTGTTGTGAAAGACAAATTGTAATACAAAGTCTTCAGAACAGTTTTTTAAATGAGGCAGTTTTACTAGACAATAAACATTGTAGAAATTTAAAATAATTTTGTGTTGTAGAAAAAGAGCAAATATTACTATAGATAAGGTCACTGTTGTCCAAAATGGCAAGCTCAGTGCTATCTATCTACACCTTCCTCCTTCTATTTTCCCCACAATAATAGCCCTGTGAGGTGGGCTGAGAATGAGTGACTGGCCCAAAGTCATCCAGCTTGCTTTCATGCCTAAGGCAGGACTAGAACTCACAGTCTGATTTCTAACCTGGTGTCTTAACTATTAGGCCAAACTGGCAGTACTATATTACATGCATAGTAGATAGTAATAGTAATAGTAATGCAAGAACATTGGGGAGTCTACAAAGGCCTTTTAAAAATTTTCTATCTTAAGACTTGATAGATTTGTTTAGATCAGTATGTTAGACCACCAGAATCCAGAACTTCATAGATACTGAGGACGTATGCTTTGACAAATTGCTGCCTAGGTGCCAACCATGGCTGTGGAGAAAGTCTTTGTATACAACAACACTTCCATTGTGCAGGATGAAATCCTGGCTCACCGTCTGGGATTAATTCCTATTTGTGCAGATCCTCGTCTCTTTGAATATAAGAGTGAAGGTAAGATAATGTTGGAGGTATTTGTCAGGTGCTGAAACTGGCTGTTAGTTAGTTAAAACAATGTGCGTGCATCTTTATTTTGTTCTTCCTTTTTTCAGAAGATGAATGTGATGAAATTAACACACTGCAGTTTCAGTTGAAAATAAAATGCAGCAGGAATCTTCAGGCGGCTAGAGAATCATCTGATCCTAATGAGCTTTATATCAACCATAAAGGTAAAATTCTTGCTTTCAATTCAGCAGTGACTACTGTTTTATGTTTCTAATACAAATATTCATTTGACATAAACTCATATTCAAGCCTTCTCAGTCTATCAAATCTTTGTTCTTCTTTAACATTGGAATAAAGAACTCAGGGCTTGCAAAATTAGGTTTTTTTTTAATGTGTGTGGTTTTTCCTTCCCCTCTCCCTACTTTGAATAGAATTGTTAGCTATTCCCTGTTGATTAAGAAGATTCCCTGCTGAATTGGAGCAGCATATAAGGCCCTGCAACTAAAAGAATGCCATAGTTTGTGTAGTTGTAAGCACAACCTTTTTTTAAAATATAGTCTTCTTATAGTTTACAGCAAACACATGGAGTGGGTACCACTAGGATCTCAAGCTGACAACATGAATGCAAATTTCCGACCTGTCCATGATGATATCCTCATTGCTCAGTTGCGTCCTGGCCAAGAGATCGATGTACTTATGCACTGTGTAAAGGGCATTGGTGAGACAGCTAAAGTTTTGATATCAGTTTGGCAATTTCATTTTTTCGGGGGGAGAGAATACTTATTTTGCACATGTGGCTGATATTTCCTCAATAGTTGCTAGATCTCAGTGATGGGGTCCTTTTTAGAGAGGGTAAAGTGTAGTTGATTCACCACTTGGATTATTCTGGCTTGTTTAATAAGTCATTTTTTTGTGTTTATGGGATAGCACAACTGATCCACAGTACTTTGTAATTTTCTGTCTTTGTTTTGTAAAGGGTGTGCTCGAGTTTTGCGTTGCATAAAGTTAATAATGTGAATTGTAGCATTCCTGTTGCTGTTTATATTATCGCTTGTGTGCTTCAGTGAATCTGTTTTCGGTCAACAATTCATTTTTGTGAAGGAGCAAGTTGTAAAAGTTGGTAGCAGTAGTAGTAAAGGTTGGGCGGTAAGGGCTGAGGTGAATAGGGTTCTGATAAGCTAATTGGCAATGAATTAGTGGGGAAGACTGTTACAGACTAGGTCAGGAGTAGGCAACCTTGGCTCTTTTATGACTCGTGGACCTCAACTCCCAGAATTCCTGAGCCAGATACCCCTGGACTAGGTGGAGTCCTGGCAATCTGAAGATATAGTCTAAGAATCCCTGCCATGTGCATTCCCTGCCATGTGCATAGCTTCTTTTGTGTACCAGCATTACTGACAGATGTCATGAAAGATTAATTACCTATTTAGAAGAGTGTAACTGATTTTTATTACCTAGAGCAGGGGTGTCAAACTCAATTTCATTGAGGGCCGCATCAGCATTGTGGTTGCCCTCGGGGTGTGTGTGTGTGTGTGTGTGTGTGTGGCCTGGGTGGGTGCGGCCTACTGGGTGGGTGTGGATGAAGTGCGTGTGGCCTACTGGGTGGGCGTGGCCAGCTCTGCATCGTTCGCGTCAAGGGTGCCTGCGGGGGCCTGGGCAGGAATGGGACAGATCTGAAGGTCTCTGGCAGAAGGGAGTGGGACCGGGGCAAGCGCCAAGGCATGGTGCATTTCTTCATTCCTCACAAAGGGTGACACCTCCCCAGCATGCACCCAGGGGGCGGGGCCGACATGGCAGGGGCTGGTTCCTCGCTGTTTCTAGACGGCCTTGTGGAGCTAAGACTGAATGCGTTTCAGCATAGATGGCCACCGCAAAATTGTACATTGGCTCCCGGCCGGCCTGGGCCAGGGCCAAGGCAGTGGGGGCCATTCCCTCACTGTTTCCAGGATGGCTTCATGGGCCGCATCTGGCCCCCGGGCCTTATGTCTGACCTAGAGGGTTGGAGAAATGTGCAGCATTAAGTCCTACCGTACTTGCCGCCAGCTTTCTCCCCCTGCCTCCACTTCATCCCACTGATGCCTGATTGCATTCATTTGCCTTTTAAAAGAAACTCTTTCTCTTTAGGCAAAGATCATGCCAAATTTTCTCCAGTTGCCACAGCCAGTTACCGTTTGTTGCCAGAAATCACTTTATTGCAACCTGTTGAAGGGGAAGCAGCTGAGCGGCTGAAAAAGTGTTTTTCTTCTGGGGTTATCGAGATTGAGGAAATCAGAGGTAATTTCTTCATTCTTTAAACTGAACAAAATCACAAACTGTTTTATTGACCAATTTCTCCCTATGACAGAACTTTATAACCCCCGTTTGATAAAGTACATGTTTGCCTTTCTTACAGTCTAGTTTTTGATCTATAACATCTTCCAACCAGCTCTTTGGGGGCTGTTACAAAAATGGCAACATAGCTACAAGAGAAATAGAGTGGACTCCTTCCTCCACTTTTTTTCTGTTTGCTGTGCAGAGACTAAGTTTTTTTCCCTCCACCATCAAAAAAATCAAGTCAGTGCCTGATATTGAGTTCTGAACAGTGAAGACTGATTACAACCCTTAAGAGAAAAGCTCAGTTAAGTTCATTGAGGGGTATCTGGAAAAGTCTACATAGCAGCAGACTGCAGGGGTGTTTTTTTTTTTGTCCAGGTTTCCAAACTATTAACCAGCAATTTAGGTGGGCGAGATATTATTTGGAATCTGTTTTGTAGTTGGGTTGAAGCAGACATGAATAAACCTAATCTAGCAGTATGTAAAAAAGATTCATTGAAAATATATTAATTTATCTTGGAATTTAGGTATTGGTTCTTTCCCCCCCCCCCAGGAAAGAAAGTAGCAAGAGTAGCTAATGCTCGATTGGATACATTCAGTAGAGAAATTTTTCGTCATGACGACTTGAAAAACCTTGTACGTTTGGCTCGGGTACGAGATCATTACATCTGTGAGTAATTTACATGTTCTTTTGTTATTGATCTTTATGGATTGTGTAACACCGGGGTCCCCAACCTTGGCAACTTTAAGAGCCATGGTCTTCAACACAGCTGGCTGGGGAATTCTGGGAGTTGATGTCCACAGATCTTAAAGTTGCCAACGTTGAGGACCCCTGGTGTAACGGATACACAATTTTCCTTGTATCAGGAGCGATATTCCTTTTCCTGATCAGTTGCAGGAGGCAATAACTAGCAGAAGTTTTTTGACATCAGAATGGAGTGAATGTTTCACTGGTTTTTTTTTTTTTAAGGATAAAGGGGTCTCACGTCTAGTATTTTTTTAAAAAAATATCCCCAAACTCTTCACTTTCAAATTTGATGTGTGTGATGGAAAACTGTCTTGGAGGCTGAAATAATGGAAATGAGAGTGCTGGGTATGGCTCAGTATTAATTTTTTTTTTTTAAATTGTACCACCAAAAGCCAGCCTTTTGATGCCAGTTTATAATAGGACAGCATTGGAGGAAGCCTGCACTTTTGGGTTGCCTTAATATTGTTGCGTAGTAGCTAACCAGTAGCTTGGCAATGTCAAATGACAAAGCACCTTGTGTAATTTTCCTTGCTTTTTATTCTACAGTTCTCTATTTTATCTTATAGTCTTAGTTTTTGCATCAAAATTTGGTATATAGAACCAAATAATCTCAGCAGTCATTTTAATGTCATAATTCTGTCTTTAGATCATTTTAAGCCAATCTTTTATTCAGTGCTTAGAAATCTGAAAACATTTATGCAAGTGAGGTCTTAATGCTTATTTTGGGAACATGACATATTTGAAAAACACAAAAGTAAATTATTCTCTCGGCTCTGTTGAAGGTCATAAATTGTATTCATGTATCAGTGGATTGTGATGTATTGAACACAGTTGTCATAGTTTATTAAAAATAATCTGACACATATGTAACTTATTTCCAAGGCTGCTTGCTCCAAAGTGAATTTGCCCTATATATGAGAAAGAAGCCTTTCTTGGGTTCCCATCACCAAACCAACTTCATCTATAGTTTGCTAGATGGGAATTTCTGGAAGTTGAAAAACACAAGTTTTACACTTGTCCAGATTGAGAAACGCTGTACAGAAGACTCTTCTCAGGGATGGTGTGGCTCCTGTAGAACACCTTGTCTTTACAAATAAGAATTGCTCTTCCTTACTGAGTTTCAAGAAAGAAGTGACAATATGGCTCTGGAATAAAGCATTTGGGGTTTTGACTCATTTGTTTAATTGGGTTCGCTTTATCTAGTTTTAGAACATGTATGGAGAACAGACGATCTTTTAGGTCATATTTATGCAGAAATATTGCAAATTCAAAGGGTTCACAGACTTTCAAACACAGCTGTAGTTTGGTGCTTAGTAATGAATCATACTGTTCAACAGTAAGTTATATGCTACTTAACTAATAATAAGTTATCTTGTTTATGCTTCATGATAATTCAAACCGAGACCCTTTTTTCCTTCAGTCTCTGTAGAATCTACAGGCATCTTGCCTCCAGATGTGCTGGTGAGTGAAGCAATCAAGGTACTAATGGGAAAATGCCAGCGCTTCTTAGAGGAGCTAAAATCCATCCAGAAGAAATAAGCTTGGGAACACAAAGACTCTTGTGGGGAAAATACCATTATCAAAATCCCTACGTCTGATTGGAAAAGGAACAATTTTAAACAAGACTGCATCAGTCTATAAGAAAATGACCCTTCTGAGATGTCAAAGAAGAACAATGGTTGCTGTACCATTGCTATTATTTACATATCATGGACACAACTGAAAATTCAGGATAACACAGTGCCCTGTGTACTATTTGCAGTCCAGTGATGGTGCATGTCATCCTTTGATAAGGTTTTGCAATCACGTGCACATGGAGATTTCTAGAGTGAACTGTCCAATTTCCTGTGTTAATCTTAGTTTTCATTACAACAGTGGTGTAGAAATCTTACCTCTGTGTACTGAATCACCTATTATGTAGTACCTTTTTGCTGATCTGGTACTAAGTACTACTGACAGTTTTACAGTCTATAGTTCCTACCAGTCAGCAAACAAACACCCATCACCAAGTCAGTAGGCCTGTGTCTGAGCTATACAATTCTCTGCTTCAACATTAATGAAAATACTCGATTCTTTCAAAAATGTAAATCCTGTTAACTGTCATTATTTAGTTAGTACATTTATGTATATATATGCTGGTTTCCTAACATTCTCTCAGTACATTTATTAGATACTTTTTTGTTACTGGGATACATGCCTCTCTTTAAAGTAGGGAAAAGATCTCCTGAATATTCCTCCTACCCTGAGTATTCTCCTGGGATTCCAACTGTTTTCAAAGTTAAGAAGGTACATTTTAGCTACTTTCTGGCAAAACCTGAATATGCTTCCTGTTTAATCTATTATTCATTGATAGAGCATTTCTAAATTGAAACAGGAGAGAAGACGCCTATTGATCAAATACTTGAATTAGAAAAATTAAGCTGCAAGAAATCCTCTCTTAAGATAGGAATACTGTATGTAACTCTTTGAAGTATGTAAGTTAAGTATATAACCTTTTGTAGCATATATGAAAAGAGTAGCAGGCATAGGACACTTAATTGCTCTAGTTCCTTCTGCTACTTTATCAGAAAATTTATTTTTACTTTATTGAACAATCCTATTAGCCTTGAAAAACTGGAGTTGCCCAACTTTAACAAGAATGCCTAATTTTTACCCAAAACTTAAAATATTTGACTATATTCAACAAAGCAAGACAAAGCATTCACACAAAAGCTTGAAGCATTAACGCATCTGTAAGCTTTGCATTGCTACTTTGAAGTCTATGCTTACTTACTGTATGTGTAAAGTTTACTAAAGATTTCTGTGAAAATTTATGCATGCACAATCAGGTACATCTTTTGTAGTAGCTGAGTGGGCCTTCCAAAGGATGCAGCTGATTAATGTGTTGGAACAGGAATGCTTCAGTCTGGATAGCATGTTTTGTATTAAGTATGCAATTCTCATTGTGCAGTGTTTGACCCAGAGAGCAACTGTGGTGATGTTCAAAAAAGGTGTGGAAAGAGTTAATGCAAAGGAAGAGCAATGTTTGTATAAAATGAAGATATTTTTTACTGACATTGATTTGGAGAGATCCTCAGATAACAACATCCCTACAAAAAAACCCTCATTTGTTTTAAATGCGTCTATTACGGGCACAGTAAGTTAAAATGTAATTAAGACACAATAAATATAGTTAGGCTAGTTTCCAAAACTATTTAGCAGGGGAATTTGGTTTAAATAAATGTTACACTGAGATTAGGATTATAAACAAGTCAGAGTGGAGTCTGGCTAGTAGTGAGGATCCAAATATTAACATTAAGACCTGTATTCTGTCATGTAACCAGATGTGTACACTACTAAACCGCTCAATTGAAAAACATTCTGTTGTATCTGTAGTCAATCTATTACAGCAGTCACTAAGGAAAGATTTATTTGATACTAGTTCTTCAGACTGAAAATTAAAATCTGGCAAATTTACGCCCACATTTTATCTCTCTTGAACAAACATTTAAGACCTGGCCTGGAGGCAGTCTGTACCATCAGACACCGAACAAAATAATCCAGAACTGTACTGCTCTACATTCAAGGGCACATTTCAGCATGTTATTTTAGACCAGTATAAAATAATTCTGAATTCCTTTTGTTTAGAAAATTATGACTTTTGACAGCTAGAATACCTATTTCAACCATGTTTCTAGGGCAAATGATGTGTATTTAACTTGAGGCTCCCTGAGGGTTGAATTAAAAAAATGTTTTCACTCTCAGATTCTCATTGGTGCTTGGTTTGGTGGAACATATGGCCAAGTGCTACTTCTCGAAAATAATAAAATTTGGAGTTAGCGTAACTTAAGTGATTCATCAATATCCAATATGCACATCTGCATTTCTTCATCCAAGCGGTGTCTTTCCAACAGGGAAGCAGGAGTATCCTATTAGTGTCATGTTGAGGCAGCAACCATACAGGTGTCCTGAAGGAGAAGTGGCAGAGAAAATGAGAGGCTGCAGAATCTTCTCCCTTCCCTATCAAGTACTGTATGCATGTATGAAGGTTTGTTCCTAAAGAACTGGCCAAATGACAGTTGGACTGGAATGCCTCAGCAACTGCCATCCAACAGTAAAAAAAGAAAGGTATACCGTAAAGTTTGCAAGTGGCGCTAGAAAATCTTCCCCATTCCCCCCGCCCCCCAAAAGGAGAATGAGGCCAGTGAGAACTGTATCAAGGCTCAGGAAAGGAAGAAAGAAAGGAAATATGGCTACTATGAAACAAGACAGAGTATAAAGGAGGAAAAAGGGAGTGGAATTGTCTTCAGCTTATGGCTCAAAGAGGGCAATGAGGATTTCATCTTCATTGTTCTCAAAAACGTCTTGTCCTAGGGGCGCTTTCACCTTCTTGAAAAGAGATGGAAGGTTTCTGATGTGGACTTCTTTCCTGAATTGTTCTCCTAGGGGCTTCTGTAAGGAAACAAAAAAGAATAGGCAAACTATGCATAGAAATAGTCCAAAAAGAATAGCCTCTGCTAAAATTGTAGAATTTCTGCCACCCCCATCCCCCATGGTGTTATGACCCCCCCCTCATAATTGTGGGTGCTGCATCTTGTTCCTGTATCCTGGGTTGTTCAGCATGTGCAGAATTTAACTCAGATCACGTTCAAGTCAAAGCCAGAAACAAAGTATCAAATGCTATATACCAGTGGTGGCGAACCTATGGCACATGTGCCAGAGGCGGCACTCAGAGTCCTCTCTGTGGGCACGCACACTGTTGCCCCAGCAGAGTTCGCCAGAGTTAGCGAGCATGTGGCGTTTGGAAGTGACAGGACAGGAAGTGAGCGAGCGAGCAGCGTTGACCCCCTGGGGATAGTGAAGGACTGGCCCTGGCCACGCTCACCCAGTCTGCCATGACCACTGCAGCCACGCCCACCCAGTGGTCCACCCCCCCACCCCCGAGGGCACCACAATGCTGGTGCAGCCCTGGCACTTTGCGATAAATAAGTGGGTTTTAGGTTGCAATTTGGGCACTCAGGTCTCTAAAAGGTTCACCATCACTGCTATATATTCGGTAGCAATTAGGCAGTAGGTAATCAGCCATGGATGGCCCAGGAAGGATAAAATGTGCTAGGTTCAGGAGAATATATTGAATCATACAGAATAGCAAAGGCTACATGGTTAGATACCTGCAATGTTTCTACCATCACAATTTAGGATTTGTGTAAGGTAAGTCACAACTAATGGGGTGAAAAGGTAAGCCTTGACATCGGTTAAAGCCAGCAGAGGGGGAAGAAAAAAAAAACCTGTCTTACCCCTATGCAGCCTGCAATTAGGCGTTTGAAATGGTCCTTCCGCCGTTTGTCTGCCACCTTCTGAAGCGTTACATTGAGTAGTTTGGAATCAAACTGCTCCAGGGAATATGTCTGGATTTCTGGAACTTGTTCCATCACTGTTTTCAACTCGGCATAGCGTGGACGCTTCAAATAACAAAGAGAACAATCAGCAGAGATCTTTGCCAGAAGAGAAATGGCTATTTCCAAAGAGGAAATTAACCACTACTGATATGTTCAGAACTTTGCCTCCCACTGAAATGGGCCTTGGACTTGGAGTGGCACTACACCACAAAAACGGCCACAGATCTGGGAATGGATTTTCCCCCCCACTCCTTACCAAAGCTTCGTAGATCTGGAAAGCCAAGTGGACAAGTGCTGCCATACAGCCATCGTGTTGTCCGTGAACCTGTAAGCCTTTCAGTACGCTTGTGAAAAACCAGGTCACTGCTTCAGGGATCATCATATTCTTTGTGAGCACCTATGGCAGAGAGATTGAAGTGAAACAAGATGGGGAGAAGGGGCTGTTTCCCCAAATTCTGATATTTGCCCCTATCTTATTTAATATAATATTCTTTTATTACATTCGTCACAATGTACCCTGCTAAACTCAGTATCAAGTACCTGCTTGAGCAATGGCCAGCAGAGTTGGGTGGTAGTTCTTTGACAGGACAAGGTATCCTTCCAGGAAAGGGATGTGAAAGCCGTAATTAGCAGAGCAGTACAGACATTCTTGGGGAAAAATAAAAAGAAAGTTAGGCCAGTTACAGCCTTGCAGGATTTTTGTCTTATAGGGCAGAATTCAATGGTACACAAGAACTCTGGCTGTTTCATAAAGCACAGAAAATGTTTCTTTATCAAATTTATCAAGTAGAAAAAGATGGATCACCCTATTTCTCCACAGAACTAACATATGGCCACCATATTTCCATATTATTGCAAAAAGACATTCCTGATAAATTAAAAGATTTTCACAAAAAGCAGTAGCTTTTAAGAGCGTATTTGCTTGTTTAAAAAGCAGATCTGTACTAAATATTCTGTGTATCATTTCTAAGTTCACAAGACAATGTTTTTCCTACAGAGAAATCTTCCCAATCTCTAGGGCTGCTGGGATGTAACTGGTAATGTTATAATTGTTAGAATGTTTTTTTCTTTTCTTCAAATATGAAGAAAGGCTTTGCTGAATCAGGAAAAGAGCCTACAGATAGTCCTCAAGTTATGCTCATTATTTCAGTAACTATTCAAAGTTACGATTTTCACTGAGAAAAAGGACTTAGCCAGTGCATTTGGGCTGCCTGCATTCAGGATCGCCACCCCATCACCACCAGTTTATTTTTGTTATCTTCTTTGTCTAGAAAGAGGCAGGCTTCTCAGGCAAGTGGTTGAGAGCTATGGGTAGGGTGGTAAATTCTATGGGCAGGCACTAGGGAGAATGGGTCTTGAGGCTGGCAGCCGTGGGGAACAACGGCATGGGACAAGACTGCTGAAGGCTGTTGCCAAGGAGTTGCTATGGGAGCTAGGGAGCATGGTGCTTGCTAGCAGCACTTCTTGTCAGCAGCCTTCAGCAGTCTTGTCCCACAACAGTCAGGAGACCCTGGCAAGCATAGTAGTGGATGGGAGCTACAGGCCAAGGAGTTGCTGTGGGACCTAGGGAGCATGGCGCTTGCTAGCAGCACTCCTTGGCCTGTAGCTCCCATCCACTACTGTGCTTGCCAGGGACTCCTGACTGTTGTTACAATGGAGTCATGTGAGGTCCTCACTTAATGGCTTCCATGTTCCTGGGTTATGATGGCAATTGGGACGGCTATGATTCCCGCTGCTAAGGAATAGTCATACAATATGAGTTTATGACTGCATTTATTTATATATCCATCCATCCATCCATCCATCCATCCACCCATCTATTATCTATCTATGATTGTCTATTTTGAACAAAGATATTCAGAATTGCTCGCTTCCTGAATTTATTCTAAAAAAAAAAAAAAAATAGGGGGTTAAAACAAGAAATTCCCCCAAAGAATGAGAAGTAGGAAGAAATTACTATCAGATTTTATAGTTTTTAAGAGTTAAAGTGAATCCTTCAATTCTCACAAATAATATAAAGACAACATTGAACCAGAGTTTCCTTACCTCTTGTTTCATTAAGCATTTGCCCAATTCAGTAAGCTCGGAGCTGGTTGATGGAGTCACCTCTGTGGACATCATCTCCTCATCTATTAGGGAAAATAATGTGAACATGAATCATTACAAATCAATCAAATTACTAACCATATTTCAATCAGAACGTCTGTTCCTTGAACAAGACACAGATGCATCAAAAGTGCTGGCAGGACACACACAGAAATGTATTTCCTTGTTACAGTTCTATTTATCTTGAAGTCATAGCACCAGAAAGTGTTAAGAGGAGGCAAATGATTTATAAAACAGCAAACCACAATATGGATCTTTGGGGATAATCAATCTGAACAAAGACTGCAGAATACTGTTCTTGGAGCCAAGAATCATTAAGATTCTTATGTCCATTTTTAGGGTAGAATATTGTGTCACTGATTCCTGCAGTGTGGCTCTGATTCCTTGCTAACAACCAAACTACTGAACTGGTTAGCAATTCTAAAGGAATTTATAAAACAAGAATAATAACCTTATTTTTTAAAGTAAGTCAGCCATAAGATTTTTATACATGCAGGACCAATTCAATTCAAATCTCAAGGGCAGCAGAATGAACAAGACATTTACCTACCGTCTCCATCTGCAGAAACTGTATTATTCTGCTCAGCACCTTTTTTTGACACACAGCAAACAGCTACAAATACATCAAAAGAAGATAAATATCAGAGTCAATGAGACATGACACCTTCCCTTTAAGAGTTCCCTTCAATATCATTTAATTTTTCCTTTGTAAAACTTCAAAATGTAACTTACACTGGAAACTCTCAGTACATTAAAAAAAAAGGAATGCAGTCATTTTTTATATTAAGTGAATAAAATAATTTGTGATTTGGAGCATTATTTCCTCTAAGTCTTTTCTGATATCAACATGGAAAAAGCAAGGAATTTCAAGTGTTCAAGTGATTTGCACATAAGAGTCAAATGATAAAAGCCAAGAATGAAGGAATATGGCCAGACTCTACACGAATATGTATTCTGAGAAATTCCTTATTAATTCCTAATCACACATTGCAGGACATGTTCTCAAACAATTTTAGCATTTAGCAGCTAAGAATATGCTGGAGAAAATGGCTGATTTTTTTTCTTGCTGCTTATTTGTCATTATCTTTTCATCCTGGAGATCAACATGCAAGAACAATGATTGAAAATAGTTAGGCCCATCTTATTATCCTACTGCTGATAAAGGAACATCTTGATAAGCCGAACAAGAGCATTTTTGAAAAAAAGAAGAGAAAGAGAGAGAACACTGGGCAATCCAGTAGCTGTCAAATATTGTAATATCTAAATCCTTCTTAAAAAAATTAGTAGCATTCCCTCTGCTTAGAGTGATGTGTCCATGTATTACTCATTTCACCCACCAATTAGATCCATAACTTCTCGAGTGAGCAGTCTAACCAGCTGCTCTTCCAACATCTCTTGAGATTCTGGGTTATCATCTACTGTATCTTCATCACTGTTGAATAATAAAGGAAACAGATTTTAGGATAGCAGCAGAAATCTGGAAGACACAACCGACGCTAAACACAATCATATTACCAAGACTAAAATATTAATGAAAGATGGTTCAGTGATGCCCAGCCTGTTCTAAATGAGACTGCAACAGGATCAAAATCATAGCTTGGGGATATCATACCAGCAGCATCTGTGGCATAAAATATTTTCACCAACTTATATTTGTATTCAGCTGCAAATCCTCTAAGACAAAAAAGTCTGCTTATTGTTATTGGCACTTTCACAGCATTCCTAATAAATTATAAATGTATTACATACATACATACATTGAACTTTTTTTTAAAAAAGAGTAAAAATCATCCACATTTATCTGATAGGCTACTGTCTAGGAGTAGCCACCAAGTGAAACAAACCTTTCCATTTTTAAAAAATAATTTCAATGCTGGTCTGTTTTTAAGTCAATTCAGAGGGCTGGTTCAAACCTTTAAAAACTCTGAATAGTTTGGCAATGAGGTAACCAAACATCTTCCGGTAAGATAGGGTATTGATAATCTTCTTCTGGGGCTCCACAATCAGAGGTTAGAACACAATTAGGGAAAAGCGTCTGCATTATGCCACCTTAGTTTGGAGTACTTTGTGCAAGAACATCTACTTTACTCTGACATTGTTCTTGTTTTAGAAACCTGTATGGCCGTAGCTGTCCCTTTCCGAAAAGAGTAAATATAGGGAAAGAGTAAAATATAAGTGTCAAAGAGCACTCATCTCCCCTTGTTTAAGCATTAGACTTACCAAATCAAACTCCGCTGATTGATAACTTGCCATTTCTGAGACAGCCTCTGGGGAGAAAAAGCAACATGACATAAAGTATTTCAATGATATATTGTATACTCAGAGCTTTGTATGTTATAAATACAACAACAAACAACAAACTGAACAAACTGAATCCAGTAACTTGTTCATACTGTGCAAGTCACCAAGGTTGCCTAATTTACTGTCCCAAAGGTGCTTTTTCAAGAGGCAACTGGACTTTCTTGTTTTTCTTTGAAGACCTTTCATTTCTCATCCAAGATGCTTCTTTAGCTCTGACTGGATGGTGGGGAATGGAAGGATTTATGTTCCTTGTAGACAGCTGGTCATTTGCATTCTTTTAGAGAGTGGTTGAGATCACTTGGAGGTTTATCTCTGTCCTCAAGGTCACCTGACACAGGTAAACCTCCAAGTGGCCTCTATGACTCTCTAAAGAAATGCAAATGACCAGCTGCTGCAAGGAATATAAATCCTTCCATTCCCCGCCATCCAGTCAGAGCTGAAGAAGCTTCATGGATGAGAAATGAAATGTCTTCAAAGAAAAACAAGGAAGTCCAGTTGTCTTTTGAAAAAGTACCTTTGGGACAACCTGGATGACTGAGATCTCCATGGACATTTACCTAATTTATTTTCCTTCAGTTATGCTCTACTTTTTACAAGAGCAATAAGAAGAACTGAAATCTTTGTTTGCAAAATAACTTGCTCAGCTGCATTTTTCAGAGTTTTATGTATTTTAGAGTTTAGTTTGATATAGCTATGAATTTCACTGGATACTTCAGTGGCTGACAATTCTCAATTTAATCTGCTTTACAGGGCATAAAAATGACATCACATTCTACATAAAACTTATCCAGAAGTTTAAGGCCAGAGAGAGAATATCAAATGCTATTACTGATATCTCCAGGACAAAGTCTAGTCTTGGTACCTGTTATGAAACAACAATACAACACTGTTTTCAATACGGTTCTGGGTTGCCAAAAGCTCTCAAGTATACTATAAGGAGGTAACAACAGCTAAAATAGGATTAATAAGGAATGCATCCCAAATTTAAGTTTTGGATCATCTTAAATCCTTACCAAGATCTGCTTCTATAAGGTAAAGTTTGAGCAATAGTAACTAGTTAACTATTAACATGAAAAAAGTGGGGAGTATGCATTCTGTGATTGGGTTTGGGTCATTCCTAATCATATGCAAAAAATATCTCAAGGAATTTTGCCACAACATCACACCTAGCAAAATTCTTTCCTTAAGCAAAAGATGCTTTCAAGCATAATAGTTCCATGACAAGTACAAGGAAACTGAGAACAGATGTGATCCTGTTTTTTTCTAACTAATAAATCCAGTGTTTTCAAAAATTCACCACACAAAACTCACACTCTCTTTCAGTATTTTCAGACACGGTATTTTGTCCTTACCATATGTAGGTAGGTGAACAGTGGTCCAAGTATAGGGCAGATCAAAGATTCGTAGTGTTCGGGTGGGCAGGAGATAACCAAAGGTTTCACAAAAACACCTGCATGAAACTAGTTAAAGAAGTAGAGCAGCACAAATACACATCTATGTTTCCTCCACGGAAAACCATTAGATTGATCCAGTCATGGCAATTTATGCTCTTTAACTGATACGAATGACAAAAGCAATTTTGCTCCCGGATTTCTCAAAACAGGCAGTTGCACTCATCTCTAAATTTTTCATAAATCTATTTTTTCCAACAAACCTACCCCCAAAAGACATTTAGCTAATTCTATTCTCAAGGAGAGAATGAGAGCCAGAAATCTAAATCAGGATTTCACAATGCACTGATATGCCCATAGTCCACTAGAGGCATCATATAACAAAATTTAGTACATTATTTTAAACGTAAGATGAAACAGTACATAGCTGATAAGGCAGGGCTTAGTAGACTACACGTTCTACAAGTCTGAACTAAATGGGATCTCTCTTTCCTTTTGGACAGAAGTGAAAAACAGCTAGCATTATTGTTCTGATGCTACTGATCATTGCATCCACTGAAATCACAGACTCTAACTGCATCCAGTTAGAATAATAGAAATGTCTGCCTTCATTCTGAGCTATTCAAACTGTTTAAATACTGTGGGAAACATATACCTGTATGTTCTATTCTGATACAGATGGTCCTCGACTTATAAAACTTCATTTTGTGACCATTCAGAATGACAATGGCATTGAAGAAAGTGACTTCTGACTATTTTTCACACTTACAACCGTTGCAGCATCCCCATGGTCATGTGATCAAAATTCGGATATTTGGCAACAGACTCATATTTGTGACAGTTGCAGTGTCCCAGGGCCATGTGATCACCTTTTACAACCTTCTGACAAGTAAAGTCAATGGGAAAGCCAGATTAATTTAACTATCAGGATACTAACTTAACAACTGCAATGATTCATTTAACAACCATGGCAAAAAAGGTCATAAAATGGGACAAAATTCACATAACAACTGTCTCACTTAGCAGTAAAAATTTTTGGCTCAATTGCAATTGTAAGTTGAGAATTACCTGTACCATCTATGCTGCTTTTAGGGGTTTTTTGCTAATTAGATCTACACTCTATAATGGATCTGGTTAGTTGCAGAAGAAAGGGTCCTAATTAAGAAAAAGGACTCAAGCTGGGACATTATATGGAAATCATGACAAATTTGGAATGAGAACTATAAATAAAAAGCAGACAAAGGATACGAAGAATAGGGCGGAGTCTGTAGTCAGGAATATTGTCCAGATTGATGAAGACTGAGTTAAGTAGTTCAGCTGCTAGACCCTCAACAACATAGAAATCTTGCTGCATGGATGAGCCAGCACTACCCAGAATGTGAAAGCTGCAATTCAAAAGGCACAGTCTAGAACTCAATAAATTATACATCTGGCAGAAGAGCCAAAAGGTACACTGCTTTAAAAAGTTTACTTGTACTTTTTTATCTGTGCAAAGTAAAATTGTCAACTTGGAACAGGCCAGTTTCCATCTAGCCCATCTACTTTCCTTTCTTTTTAGAGCTGTTAAAACACAATCAGTTACAAGAACATAAAGATTTTCCTTTTCCCACAGTGGGAAAGCAGTAGAAAGCCTACATGTGAACTAACATAGCGTTATGGAAAAATCTATGGATTTCTTACCAGTTGTCATATAGTGTACAGAAGAACCCCTGCATCCTTTCCAAGACTGTTTTGTAAACAGGAGGGTCATAAAGTTCCATCAAAGGCTGAGGGAGACCTAGCAAAAGAGGGATAGTATCAGTGGGGAGATTCCTCTATTCAGGCAGTGACCTGAGCAGTTCTGGCTACCAAAAGCACAAATTTAGTTGTGGATATCTGGAACAGGTCAACTTGGAGTATGAATGCTTTTAATTTAAAAGTTGAAAGAAATGGCAGTAAAAATGTGATGCTTTCAGAGCAGTTAGAAACAAAACAATACTTTTTCATGATTTTTACAAAACTAATTATAATCATGCTCATGCAGACGTCTACCTGCTTGAAAACTGATGTAATTCATGATGCACTGAAATCCAAATAAATTTAGAGCAGAAGTATTCTTCAGATGTAATATTTGTGTAATGTAAATAAATCTTTCCAGGCTTACATTATAAACTTTATATAATAAAAAATATTGATCACCAATGTAAATTTGCTGTATAAATCCACGTGTAATACAAAATGGCAAGCAAGAATTTAAATTCCTAGCAGCTTAGAGAACTCAAGCCCAGGATGGAAATGCCCATATTTAAATTTGAATTCTAAAAAAACCTGAAACTCCATAAAGCTCATGTAAAATACAATACAACTTTGATTCAACAGCACCTTGTTTAGTGGACATGATAATAATAATAAAGTTGGAAGGGACTTTGGAGATCATCTAGTCCAACCCCCTGCTCAGGCAGGAAACCCTATACCATTTCGGACAAACGGCTGTCCAGTCTCTTCTTAAAAACTTCCAGTGTTGGAGCATTCACTGCTTCTGGAGGCAGGTTGTTCCACTGGTTAATTGTTCTAACTGTCAGGAAGTTTCTCCTTAATTCTAGGTTGCTTCTCTCCTTGATTAGTTTCCACCCGTTGTTTCTTGTCCTGCCTTCAGGCGCCTTGGAGAATAACTTGACTCCCTCTTCTTTGTGGCTGCCCCTGAGATATTGGAACACTGCTATCATGTCCCCCCTCGTCCTTCTCTTCATTAAACTAGACATACCCAATTCCATCAACCTTTCCTTATATGTTTTAGCCTCCAGTCCCCTAATCATCTTTGTTGCTCTTCTCTGCACTCTTTCTAGAGCAGTGGTTCTCAACCTGTGGGTCGGGACCCCATTTGGGGTCAAATGACCATTTCACGGGGGTCGCCAAACCATGCTGTCCGCCATTTTTTTCCCTTTTCCCTAGCTGTCCTACTCCCTCTTATTGGTGGCCACACCCACTTGGGGGTCACCACAACATGGGGAACTGTATTATGGGGTCCCGGCATTAGAAAGGTTGAGAACCACTGTTCTAGAGTCTCAACATCTTTTTTACATCATGGTGACCAAAACTGGATGCAGTATTCCAAGTGTGGCCTTACCAAGGCATTGTAAAGTGGTATTAACATGAGAGGAGAGGGGCATATTTTTGTTGTATTTGCTTTGCCAGACCGTCTGAAATTTGTCTCATACAAAACCTCAGAAAATCAGAGGCTCTGAGTTTTGTTTTAGCTGGACCATAAAATTACTCCGATTTGGTTCAGCCTAATACAGATAGTCCTCAGCTTACAAACATTCATTTGGTGACTGTTCAAAGTTACAACAGCATTGAAAAAAATTAACTTACGACCATTTTTCACACTTACGACTGTTGCAGCATCCCCCCATGATCACGTGATCAAAATTCAGACGCTTGGCAACTGACTCATATTTGTGACGGTCGCAGTGTCCTGGGGTCATGTGATCACCTTTGGTGACCTTCTGACAAGCCAAGTCAATGGGGAGTCCAGATTCATGTCTCAGACATGAATGTTACTAACTGTTACTAATTTAACAACTGCAGTGATTCACTTAACAACTATGGCAAGAAAGGTTATAGAATGGGGCAAAACTCACTTAACTGTCAGTCTTAGGAGCAGAAATCTGGGGCTCAATTATGATCGTAATTCGAGGACTACCTGTACAAAGTCACATTTCTGCTCTAGGCTTCCCTGTCAGAAGCAGTTACTTACCAAGAATGGTATTCTTCTCCACTTCCAGCATGTCAAAGGCCTTTGCAAAGGTAACTCCCAATTTAGCCACCATCTCTGGCATATACAAATTGTTGTGGGTCCTGGAAGAAAATGCGATATTTTATAATCACAAGTTGAATCTAACCGTTACCTGACCGTGGGAGTCCGCCTTCAGCTTGTAAACAGCTCCTGTATCTGGTGAGAAGGAAGGTGAGACCAAGCACTTGTGCATGGGATCCCCCTTCCTTACCAATAAAAACATTCCTGCCTTGGGCGTATGGAGAAATCTCCAGTTTGTGTAGAGGATTCAGTTATTCCACACAACATTTTGCTCCAATTTGGCCCTCTGAAGTGCCGGCTGCAAGGACCCACGCAGGACACACTGCGTCCCTAAGGATGGGTCATGGTGCCTAGAATGGCAGGTGGCTCTGACAGAATGCAGCAGCTTATGAATTTGCTCACATGCTATAAGCAACTCTGTGGCAGAAAGATGCCCCCCCTGAAAGGCAGGACAACTCTGCATTAACCACACCATGCTGCCAGGGAAGAACCTCCATTCAGCCTAGGGTGACTTCTTTCTTGCCATCCAGGCTAAAAGAGGGACCCTCAGCAGCTGGATGGACCATCTGAGTGGGGAGGAAGGGTCCCTGTCTCACCTACCTCTCTCCTTTGAGACCTCAGACCTCCACTCAGGGCTTCGGTAACTGCACACAGCACAAATTCTGCAGCCAAAGGGCCCAACAGCCTTCGCCAAAACTGCCTCTGTGCCTGTTGCTAGAGGCGATCAAGGGTAACTCAGACTGTCCCCCTAGAGCAGCAATGCCCCAAAGTAAGAGGGTGCAGGGAAAGAAAGGACTAGGTCGGTAGGTGGCAGGGGCAGGCCTCTCAATTGCTCTCCAGAGTCTCAGCTGCCATTTTTAGAAGTCTCTAAAAGAAGTCTCTATACTTGTGAAGAAAACCTTCAAGAACGGGACCAAAGGGAGACCAATGCAGCGATGTCTGCCTGAGCTTGCAGAGGGCCTGGAACAATAGTTCTGAGGTGTGAATTGCCCATTCATTTCAAAGGGTGCTAACAGAGGCTGCAAGAAAGGAGAAGCATCACATTATGAAGAGAGAGTGACTATTTGTTTTGGTTAAGACTTTAAGCACCAGAGCAGGGGCTTAAAATTATATTGCAATAGATAAAATGGCTTTTAAGCCAAGACTCTTTTTAAAATAGAATTAAGATTTCCAAAATTGTGGAACTGACCAACGTTAGATTGGGCATCACTGCACAGCATGCGTAAAGTGCGAGTACCACTTCCTGCATTTGCATAAAACGATATATCCTGCTCAAAGCTCACTGGTAAAGCTATCATCGCAAGATTATTGTGCTAGGGAAAAATTGGAGGGGGAGGTATGAAGGAATGCTCTCATCCTTAGATTTTTTTTTGGGGGGGGGGAGCCATTAGCGCCTTCCAGATTGGCGGTAGGAGATACTTCTCTGCTATGGATTTGGATATAGTGGCTGTTCCCTGGACTGTTTTTGCTTTCTTAGGCTTGTGATATCATTTACTTGAATGTTATATGGTATTGTTTTTTGCTGTAAACTGCTTAAAGCTTTACTGGATTGAATAGCATGTACTGTTGCAAATAAATATGTGAACCATCTTAAGTTCCTAGAAAGCAGGAGGGATGTAAACTTGATAAATAAATCAATAAGATACATAAGAATATGTCAAGTGTTAAATGTGTCAAGCTCATGTGAATCTGTTACATCTGGAGTTGAAGAATGCCAGAGAGCTGAAAACACATTGGCTACGTTCTCTCAATGGGACTGACCACAACTTAGTGCAGTCAATATTTCCATACACTGGAATCAAAATGGCATGAGTGTGTGTATGCGTGTGCGTGTGATATTTTAAATATTTTAGGTTTCAAAAACTGATACTGAACAAGGTTTGACATTTGGAAGAGGCAGTGAAAGTTGATACATTAGCTCCAGGGGAAAGCAAAACTCAAGAATGGACACTGAAAGACGCCTTTTAGTTACCAGCAAATTCTTTTCCCATACTAGCTACCACTGAACAGAATATCAATTAAATTTGTAGCATGGCAGCGAACATTTTGGCAATAGCAATAGCACTTAAGACTTATATACCGCTTCACAGTGCTTCACAGCCCTCTCTAAGCGGTTTACAGAGTCAGCATATGGCCCCCAACAATCTGGGTCCTCATTTTACCGACCTTGGAAGGATGGAAGGCTGAGTCAACCTTGAGCGGGTCAGGATTGAACTCCTGGAGTGAGCAGTGAGTGAGCCTGCAGTACTGCATTCTAACCACTGGGCCACCAGAGCTCCTCAGTGCAGCATTTGCTTGATGTATTTATATGTCCTCAAAGTGCGCAGGAAATTATGATACTCAGGACCACTTTGGATGTTTATCAAGATCACGCATACAATGCCATTTTAAAATGTGTAATTTTGCTTGGAAGGCATTTCCTTATCCTTTTCACAGTAGCCTGACCCAGCTGCACAACCTTGCTGACCCTTTTAAAACACCCTCTCCTGTTCCTCATCCAGTCTCCTCGGCTGCCCTCTTCCCTTTTGTTCCTGCATCTTCATAATATCAGAATGGTGGCTGCAGGAAGGAAAATCAGGGTAAAAGAGTTAGATTGCCTCTGCAGGTTACCGAAAGAATAATTTGCACGGTGACCACAGAACAATTCTGCATCTGCATGCATGTGATTTGATTTTCCTGGCGGGCTAATAAAAGTCAGGCCTGGGGGGGGGGGGGGGAATGGTTGCTATATAGGTTTCTATGAGCTCTGTGTAATAGGTCCAAGTAACTGATAATTTGGCGGAGAAAGTTCTAACTAAAAGGTAGGGCGCTCAGATCTGAAGCCGGCAGATTGTGCTTCGGATCTGCCATGAGTGTCTTTGCTATGCAGGTAGCCCCCACTTGTTCCGTGACCAAAGTTATGAAAACACTGAATGGGGGGGTGTGGGTCTTATGACCAGTCCTCAAAACTGCAGTTGTTGCAGCGTCCCACAGTCACGGGACCACTCTCTGCAACCTTCACTGCTGGCTTCCAACAAGCCAAATCAACGGGGAGAACTGGCAGGAAGTCACAAGCTGTGGCCACGTGACATCACACTTAATGACCAATCGCACACGGGGATTGTAGGTGGTTGTAGTCAGGTATCTTTTCAATTTACAACCATCTTGCTTAGTGATTGGAATTCTGCTCCCAACCATTGTCATTAAGTGAGGACTATCTGTACCTTTTGGTAGCTCTGCAAAGGAGCTGCAGCCTTTCCTTGGCTCACCCACAGCTATGTAGGCTCACAAACACGCGAGCAACAGAAAGAGAGATCAACCGTGTGTTTCTGCCTCCTTAATTCAGCTGTGCGTTTTCTTGAGCCATGAAGAGGTGTGGCCCTTTATGAGCTGTAAACATGTATAGTAAGGGTTCTGCTCTGGAGGGGAAGCATTTCTTCTTGCTTCAAGTCCAAATACTGCATTATCTCTAGTTCTAGCAAAACAGAGCATGCGATAAGACAGCAATAACAAAACTACAAAGGGTGTTAGAAATAATGAATTACTAATGATACGTTTCCTTCGGGCAACAGAAAAGGAAAAAAAAACCGGAGAAACACCCAACAAGATGTGATTAAGCAGCCAACACAACAGTTCGACTAAAAGCAATGTTTACTACATCGTCGATGGATTCCCAAAATAAAAAAAGCCTTCATTAGTGCAGTTTTGTGACGTGTATACAGTTAGATTATTCTCTATCCATTGACACAACTTTGGAAGTTTTATACTTATAATTCTCCTTCCTGGAAATGGTTCGCTGCAGTCACAGCTTCATTTGTCACCCAGAACACAAATTTCCACGTGAGAAACCCAAAGAGCCATTTACTCAACTCTGTCATTCAAGCTGGAGTGATTTACGCTGAGAACAAGTTACCTCCACCGAAGCCACCAAGATACAGATATGGGGCATTTAAATAAAAGAGGATATATGCCTCTGTAGTTTAATTATACGTCAACAACAAAAAAAAAAATTAGCTGACAAAATGAGACTGCAATGCTTCTAAATAGGGATAAAAACAAATTCAGGAAGAATTTCCTATGAAAGAAGAGGAAGGCTCTAGCTCAGTGTTTCTCAACCTTGACAATTTTAAGGCATGTGGACTTCAACTCCCAGAATTCCACAGCCAGCGTTGCTGGCTGTGGAATTCTGGGAGTTGAAGTCCACATGCCTTAAAATTGTCAAGGTTGAGAAACACTGCTCTAGCTCAAACCATTCCCTTTTGCATTAGCTTTGTACTGATAGGGGGTTTTCTTACCGTAATACATTATAAAGACACAAAATGATACAAAATTTGTAGCATGAAATGGTCTACCCCAGGGGGTCCTCAAACTTGGCCCTTTTTATGACTTGTGGACTTCAACTCCCAGAATTCCTCAGCCAGATATGCTGGCTGAGGAATTCTGAGAGTTGAAGTCCACAAGTCTTAAAATTGCCAAGGTTGAGAACCCCTGTGTTAAGGGAAAAAGGGTATGTCCCATTTTTGTGAACCAAGGCAAAGGTTTAAATTTAATTATGAATAAAAGAACTAAGGTATATGTCAAATAATTTGAACTAGTGTCATCTAGATTGTTTGTTATGTATGGAAATAGGAATCCATAGGAAAGTGAAAATGCATGCTATGTTATAGAAGAACCAGGGCTGAGTTTTAAGAAAAATTGTGCAAGATTTTGAATACCGTATATGCCGGCGTATTAGGCGATCCGGCGTATAAGACAACCCCCGTCTTTATAGCCGGGCCGCATTCCTAGAACATCGTCTTATACGCCGGAAACTACCAGTATTTCCGGCGTATAAGACGACTCGGCGTATAAGACGATGGCGCCGATTTCAGCGTTCGTGGAAGGCGTCTTATACGCCGGCATTTATGGTAAATGCTAACCAAAATAACATCTAACACCAAAAATTGTTCTGCTACAATGAAGGAATGGGAACAAGTACTGAAAATATGATTAGATCATTTGGAGACCCAATAATGAATAGTAAAGGTGATTATTTGGTGAGTATCTGCTTAGAAAAAAACACTGCTTCAAATATACATAAGTCTATTCTTATATACACCTGACAAAGGCATGTAAAGCATATTTTATTTTACTGTTTATAAGAAAAGATTAAAATAATTAGTAATTATAGGACCTAAAAGAAGAATAGATCCTTTTTTTACTATCAACAGTGGAACTCGACGGGGGGGGGGGAATGGACATGGAAAAAATGAATACATTGAAAGGAAGTAGAGAAACTAGAGCAAAAACATAATTATATTACAGAGTTTGCTTATATTAGTGGCTTATCCTAATGTTACCGTAGGAAAAAAATCTCTCATCTGACATACTTTAAAAGAAAGGGAAAGCAGTTTTACAAAATATCTTGCATTGGAAAGCGTAAATAAAAAAACCCAATCCAATTGGAGAAAAATTGACTAATTTCAACCATATCTTTTCAGATACCATCATGCTGAACTCAGTAAGGCTTGCTTCTGAGTAAAAGTATAGAGCAGGCTGTTTTGATCCTCAAGCTGTGACAGGCATGTATGCTAAAACTGACGCCACCAGGAACCACCATTTCAAGATCAGTTCTCAAAAACTCTATTTATCCTTCACTTTAAAAAGGCTGTGCCTGATGCAACAGCTCCCCTTTCACTCCAGTACTGGCAAAAAAGGAAGTACATAAGCTAATACTATTAGAAGTGCAGGAACCCTGTTCTCTTTGCATCTGGTCACTCTAGCTAACTGCAGACAAGTAAACGTGTTCCTATGAATTAGATTGGAATGATACTGTCCACCCCAAAATTCTGTAAGACAATCTATTTTATATGAGATTTATACTATCAGATCAGTATTGAAGTTTCATTTGATTATTCCTCTCTCCCTCAAGATAAATAAACACACAAAGATATATCCCCAACAGAGAGGCTGCTCAAGTGCAGAGAGCCATAAGACATCTATCGATAGTGTCACTGACAAGTTCCCTATCCCCTCAAAATAAACTTACAGGCTTAATACATAAAATCCTTCAACAAGAATAGATACACACGAGAAGCAAAGAGATACTGTATAAAACCGAAGATGTGACTTGACTGACAGGGTTCAAAATATATGAAGACTACCAAGAAAAGCTGGTCTTAATCTTACGGTATGGGAAATTGGAAGACTCCCACAAAACACAGTCCAAATGGGCAGAATAAAGCCAAAAGTTCCTTCTTCTACTCTACTTTTTATAGGCTTTATTACAAAATATTTCAACAGATGCCATCATTCACGTTAAGTGGAAGTATGGGGCATATTGACTATGAAATGAGAACCCTGCCATATTAACTCACCTTATCAGAGCAAGCAAGTTGTCAAAAAGTTTCAGGATCTGCACTGAGCAGGGGTTACGGTAGATTGGATTGCCATTAGGTGTATATCCCACCACAAATCCTCCAGCTTTTGCCTCTTCCAAGGAAGTGGGCCAACGAGCTCGTTTTATAACCCCCAGAATTGTGTATACACAAAAGCTTATCTATACAGAAAGTAAAAGACGCAGTAGTTACTTGAAAAGTCAGTCTAAGAGAATTGAAGACTTAAAATGTCTCAAGAAGATGGTCTCCCAATTGCAAAAAGACACTCTTAACTATATATATACAATCACGTGATGAATGCACATGTATATTTGAGATGAATGGAACTGTGAATACTTTTTTAAAAAAATCTGTATAAAACTATTATTGTGCATAAATTATCTATAAACTCACTTTTTCCCTATCTTATTCTAGAGATTTCTCTATTTATCTCACTATTTATCATTACATTCTAGGATCTTCTCTCAAAGCATAACTGTATAGCAGGGGTGTCAAACTCACAACGTCACGTAACGTGTCGTGATGTATCGTAACTTTTTTCCCATTGCCAGCAATGGGGTGGGCACGGTTTCAGCATGACGCATCTGGCCCGCAGGCCGGCAGTTTGACATTTCTGCTGTATATAAATCAGTCATTTAAAACCGAAATTAATTGAGAAGATCTGAGCATATTTAGTTGATACAAAAAGATAATTACTCGTAAGGAAAACTGAGGATCCTTCAGTGAAGCTCATATCTCAGCTCTGTAAAGATCTTGTGGAACAACAAACTGACTGATGCAATTTTAAAATTCTATACCAAAGAGTGTGACAAGAAGGTAGTAGCAAATCTAAGAGTTTCAGATAAATGTGCTGGGCTCTATTATGACCCACCTTGAAAAAAGCCAACTATTACTATGCAATAGGAAAGATTTTAATATTTTAGGATAATCCCCTTCCAGGTAGCACCTAGATAAGGCAAATAACTTACTTGGACCCACTTCAAATTATGAAAACAGAAAGACAACAGAAAACTCTATTGTGATTTCTTTTTGCTCAAAAGCATATGCAGATCTCAACATATCTGTGTTTAAATCACATGTCATATGCTTAGTGTTATTTCCAAAGACTATCCACTACTCACTAAGGATAAATTTTCGGTGATATGGCCAAATCTCCTTTTCTGAATTCTATATTTTCTTATAATCAAATACTCACTCTGGAACGATTCAAACCACAGGGATCTTCCATGATGGGATCTACAATCCTATTATCAGCACCAACATATCGGATAAAATCTTCAGGATTCATAAGAACTCTGTGCGTGGTAGCAGAAAATATATTTTATTCCAAGAAATCAATTCAATCTAATGAGTTATGGAAGCTAGTTGTCATGAAACACTATTATTAAGTCGGATCCAGGAATATTTGTGATGTTACTTAAATCTACAGTGTCAGATTAGAGCAAACTAAATTTAAAAAAATGTGTAAGTTGAAATCCAAACAAGCACCTTATTGAACTCAACAGGATAGATTTCTGAATATGTATACATAAGATAATGCTATTAAACATTATTATATCTACAATCTAATCTCAATTTGGGTTATAAATGACTTTGCTATAGTATCTCACTTAGTGGACTTTCTACATGCTTCTCTTGCAGTTTTCTGTGAAGATGATTTTAAAGTTGAAAAAGGTGATCCCTACTGCACTTTGCATAGAAGTCTGCCTTTTCTGCATTTGTGTGCCTCTTAATTTTACTTTCTCACAGTAAAAGATGAAAGATATCCATTTTTATTCACAATATGTTAACCATTTAACATCTTAACCTATGTCCCACTTTAACCATGAAACCAGCTAGGTGACTTTGGGCCAGACCAACTCACCTTACAGAGTTGTTGTGGGGAAAATAAATGGATGAAGGTGTGTTGGATTTATTCGCTGCCTTGAGTTATTCATAAAAATAATAAAAGGCAGGATATAGATAAATAAAAATAAATTTAAACTATATCAGATTGTCAGTGGAAAAAGCCCACATGCAGGTAATCCCCGAATGTTCCCTTACCAAACTTTCGAAGTTATGTGATAAGCACCCCCTAGTCTAGTGTTTATAAAAAAGTCCCGAAATTACGAATGTTGTCAAAACCACGGCAGTCATTCACCCTTACGAACGACCGCAGAGATGACTCCCTCCCCCCCCAACGCCATGGGTCTCCCTAGGCACTAGGCCTGTGGATACTCATCTTGCAACGATCTAGAGAATCTTCGCTTCTTGGCTGTTTTGCTACTTTAGGCCTTCCGTGTGTTTGCACAGAATGGGGACCTAAATCACCACAAGATCACACGAGATCAGTGGCGGAAGATCTCATGCTACTGATCACACATGATCTCATGGTGCTTTAGGCCTCTGTTCTCTGCAAATGGAGACCTGGATGAGAACTGTGGCAAAAGGCTTTGCAAATAGATATAAAGGCTGAAACATTGATGCCTTCCCTCTGTTTGCAAAGCCTTTTGCCATCTTTGCAAAAAGCCTCTGCCACTGAGAAGGGACCTCCGAAGCCCCGCAGCCGCCATTCCCAACGTCTGTGCTGGACGGTGGAGGCCCACAGAAGGCCTCCAATGCCAAGCATGGACCACCAGAGACCCGTGGCCACTGTGCCTGATCTGCATTCTGGGTGTGGGAGGCCCACAGGAGGCTTCCCACGCCCAGAACGGACCTCCAGACACCTGCTACCACCGCTCCCAACCTCCTGTGGATCTCCCACACCCAGAATGGAGGTTGGGAGCAGCGGCAGCAGGTCTCCTGAGGTCCCTTCTGGGTGGGGGAAGCCCTCTCCAGGCTCCCATACCCTGAATGGAGGCCAAAAGCTTCTGGGGGCCATGATCTTGTGCTCAGGCACCCATCCGCTTTTGTAGAGAATGGATGCCTGACTTCCCGTGAGATCAGGGCATCCAGAAGCTTCCAGGCTCTGCGTGAAAAGTGTTTGCATGCCAACAGGTTTAAAGCAACGTGATTTCGTTGTTCCAAACCTCCCTTCAGCGTGCAAACGCTTTTCCGTGCCGAGCTTGGAAGCCTTTGGAGGAGACTCACCGAGGAAGAAGTGGCCGACAGCCTGGTGAGTCAGAGAAGCCAAGCAGGGCACACTCGTCCTGCTCTCCCTCTGCTCTCGCTGGGGGCGGACAAAGAAACAGGCTGGAGAGGAGACAGATCTTCATAAGATAAGTGACCTGGCACGGCAGGATGGGGGGGGGAGCAATTGAAGGGACCCCAGGGAAGGGAGAATGAGATATTTCAGTGGGTCGGGGGAAACCTTGAGTGGTCTGAAGTAGATGGCCTTCCCCACCTTGAGATACCTCATGTTCACTTAACGAGTCACGCATTCGCCCATTAAATTAGCGAATGCGTGGGCGAAAGGAGGGTGTGATCCCGTTCAAGGTATGAGATTCACTCCCACGAATTCTCGAGTTACGAATGGAATGGGCTCCATTACATTAGTAACTTGAGGACTACCTGTACTCCATACTACTTTTATCAACGTCATCCATAGCTATTCAGCACATTTTCTCTTCTCACTTTTAACTTTCAAAGATTGTTGATGCAGTTCAAACCCATGGAGCTGCCTGTAATTCTCATTTCCTGCAATAATATTCGTATAAAATGACTGCCAGGGAACTCTGCTGTCCTAAACTCTCCTGAAAACTGGAAATAAGTGGAAATCAGAATAGCTGAATTGAATAGCTTCAACACATGTGCTAATTAAATAACTGTACTGTGTGGCGAGTTTTCCAAAAACGATCCTGCCATGGAAAAGGAACTGGAAGTTGTGAACTGAATGGAAGGAGTAGTAGCTAAGGTCTTTATATTAACAGAAGCTTATACTAAAGACAAGTATCTCTTTAATCTCTTGTACTACACTTTATTCTGAATGCAGCCTAAATATTTAGTTTAGAAACATTTTTAAATGCTTAAGGACAAACATTTAGCAAATGCAGGCTCCAGATTTAGTCTTTGTGCCATTTTCCTACACACTGAACTCAAAACAAGAAGAGCTTTAATAAATGCCTGCCTGCACGAAAGCATTTCTTATGCACAACCACAATGAATTAAAATAGCTGCATACATGTTTACTGCAAAGCCCAGCACAGATCTGTAGCTTTGTTTTATATTGGAAACTATCAGGGGACTTGATTAAACTTTTCATACCTTTGCATCTCATCAGATAACCAAAGTGTAGCAACAGGAGCCATAAGCTCTTCCAAGAAAGCTTTTTGCCGCTGATAATCCTTAAATTGGTTGCTAATGAGGACCAAGGCTTCCATGAGAGCACACTTCTCCATCTGAGTCAGGAGCAGCTCATTGGACAGCAGCTGCTTCACATGATTATACAGCATGTCAAAGTTGGGCTATAATCAACAGATTCAAGCAACTGTTGGTTAAGTGAAAACACCACACGCGATTAACTGCAAGGATACATTTTGTATTACAAGAAATAATATTTCAAGGTAAGAGCCATCTCCAGTTCAGTTCTGACCTGTTTTAGAGAGGGTGAAGAGCTTGTTTATGCTGGTTGAGATAAAGATTGAAAATCAATTCTTGAAATATTTTTTCTTTATTATATTCTTGTTTTTCTCTTTTTCTTTTTTTTCTTGCACTTTTTTTTACTTCTATTTTCTTTCAGTTTGTATTAAATGTTGCTATTATAAACATTCTTAATAAAAAAATATGCACACACATATAAAGAATTAAAGTCTCTTATCACTATCACCTTTATGCTTCATTGAAAGGCCATACAATAAAAAACCATACAATCAAAGGGTTAGATGAGAACATATTAGACCTTTGAGAATAATCTCCTCAATTCAGGGATCCAAATTAAAGTGTCCATAACGGATGGCAGGCCAATTTCTGGTTGAACAAATCCAATGGAGATTATTATTTCTCTGGGTAACTGGTTCCAATAAGAACTGGATGTGTTCTTTAAAAGAAACTTTCCCCCCAATTTTTAAAATTTCTTTTTTAGGATCTGCCTTCTTCTACAAACAATATGTGTTTGGAAGGAAAGAAAACTTCCTTGGTCTGATAACCACTTGTATATTTAAAGAGTACTGTCATATTGTTCATAGGATAAAACACGTCTAGGAAATTTGTTACGGATTCACAGCAACTAATTTCTAGTATCTGGCCATCCACCCATTACCATTCACATTGCTTTTCTCTAAACCAGAATTTCTCTGAATTTCTCTTAATGTTTGGCTCGAGAATTGCAGTCTGCTGTTATAATGCACCATCCACATCTTCATAGTTATACTGCATGTACACTGCAATCTAAGATAATTCATTACTATGTATTTGCTATGAAAACAACCAAACTATTTTTGGAAACACAAGCTAGACTGTTTCTCACTTCCACAAGACTTTTGACACCAACGAAAGTCAAAAATCAATCATGATTATCTTTTTCAGCTAAAATACACAAGATCTGTTATTTAAGCCTGCTTTCCTACAGACCACAACTACAGGAAGTACACTTTAGCGAGCTCTAAACTATAAAGCCTAGAAACATACACTCCTGTGCCCAAAGTAGCTTAAGTTAGAAAAACAGTCTCAAGTTGAACAAAATAACAATTGAATACCAAAACAAGTTGAGGGTAATCCCGACATATTTTGATGATGGAGGAGCAAGCATGTCTTCTCACATTCTTTACTGCACGGGTTCTTGGCGCCTGGACAGACAAATAAGTAAAATTTAAGAATAGCATTGTATTCTATCTGCTTTAGCAAACAAAGCTTCTTTAAGTATTTAATACATTTTTCAAGATATTAAATAGAATAATTAAAAACAGCTTTAAAACAAAGCAATTCTGATCATTTTCTAAAACTTCTGTAGAACTTAAGCACAATTAACTGTCCTGATTGGAGAACTAAGACAGCTTGATTTCTATCCAAATCTCTAATGATGGCAGAACTTTCAACATGGTGCCCTATGCTTACCACTGATCATGATGGGGGAATTTTTTTCACCGTGTGTTCTGTTTTTGCTCTTAACAAAAAGGGACAAAGAAGAGTAAGGCTCTTGAAACTACTGGACAATTGGACTTTTCCCCCAGCAACCATGCTAATGCCTGAGATTTCAAAATTACCTACACAGCTCTTTGTTGTTTACTTTTATGAGAAGATTGATATTTCCAAGATACTTAATTGTATAGTGAATATAAAAATATCTGTTGTATATAACTTGCTTTGTAGCGAAAATTCTATTAATGAAATTTGTTTCTAAAGTTTAGTATTAATGCAAAAAATGGCGACTCAAATTTTTGATTTTACATCATGTCTTTATTTATGTAGTTACCAAATTTCTATACCACCCATCATATTTGTGTGCCTCGGGGCGGTTCACAAATAAAAACTTTATAGTTTGAACGATCTCAATCCTATTTTCCCTGACTACATTGGTTCATGTAGAGCTTCCCCATTCAAATACCCTTCTCATTTCACAGTTTCAACAGTGTCTAAGAGATCGAATATAACCAAAATGGCCTTGCTCTGCAGTTTCATCAGGAAACTTCATCGTCACATTTATGAAATGAACTTACCTTGCTTTCTTCTACAACTTCAAAGGTGACAGAGGCAAACAGCTAAGAACAATAGCAAAAAGTTACTCATCATTTCATGGGAGCATATTTTCTCTTTATGTGAGGTATTTGTAAAATGCTGACCCCTAAAATTATTTACCAATCGAGTTGTTCCTGTTTTTATTTTAGGATATGATGGTGTATTACAAAACCATGTGCATGTTTCTTTTTTCTTTTCCCCCAAGCAATTTCACAGAAATAATGAATAACATATTTCAGTGAATCTTTTCCAGACTGCTTCACAGTTCCAAGGCTACACTGAAAAAGCTTTCTGCCCTAGTAGGCAACTTTGACCTCATTCACTAATGAAACCAGGAGAGAGGGGGAGGCAGTTTCTGCAGATATTAATTCTGCTTCCCTCAAAGACTGCAATTCTAGCACCTTTTGTCACAGTCATTAAACAATCTCATGGGTCACTAAGCATACTAAGTCCCTCTCTGTGGGACACAGGAATACATCGGGAAAATCAGTCATGTAAATCAAATGATATGAACACCTTACAATTTAAAAACCAGCACCTGGACTTGAGCTTCAGATAAAATAATTAGTCAATTACAACATTGCAATTCTTTCCTCTTCAGTTCTCCGGTATATTCAAAACTCCTTTATCCTATTCTAGGATTCTGAAAAATATGGATGTATCCTATGGAACATGGTCTAATTCTAGAAATAAAACAGCTACTTCTTCATTTCTCAGGAAATTGTATATTTGAGGTTCTCTACACACGAGTGAAGTTGAGTCACATATTACAAGTTAATGTTACATTCTTCCCCACTCTCCATGCGATTTGAGCCCTGCTTCCTTTAAACACCTGTTTTCTTGGGCATTTGGGTGAGGGCACAGATGGAGGCTTGTGTTTGCTGGGTCTGTTTTAGTTTTGTGTCCTGTGGCTGACTTGCATCTTTCAATTAACACTTGGAAGAGAGGTTGCTTAGATAAGCTAACTCTTCCTATTTACTCTTTATAACCTGTGACTTTAATTTTCAGCTCTAACCTCAGGGACATACAGGTAATCCTGGTTTAATGACCACAACTGGAACCACGCCCTTGGTTGTTGAGTGAAGCAATTGCTACGTGAGATGCCCACGTGACTATTTCACTCAATGACCATGATCTCAGCAATCCCTGCTATGGCTGTTAAACAATCTCACAGCAAACGAAACGTTCGGAAACCAACCCACAAGCTCGGAGAACGAACCTTCACCCTCATCGCTCTCTGTCCCTATGGGGAGGTGGGTGGGGGTGGGGATTTAGACTCTGTGAATGCTTGGATTTCAGCTGCCGAGATTGAAGCAGGCATGGAGTCCTTCTCTTCCTACCTCTGCAGGACTGTCCAGGGAGACAGGCGGAGAGATTCCATACGTGCTTGAATTTCTGTTGCCAAGGTTCAAGCAGAACCTTGTGTCTCTGCACAGCAGTGAAATAGATTCCAGAAACCCAACGTTTATTGACAGTAGCAGAAAACATTTACCTTGGCAATAACTTCTGGCAGGTATTCTGGTCTGTACGTAACAAATGGAAAGAGCGCTGATATATTAGAAAGGATGCAGGACAGAATCAGGGGGTCTTTTGTTTCAAAGCCAAGCACAAGTTGCAATAGTTCTATGCCTTGAGAGACTGGGATTTTCTGGAACAGGAGGAAAATGGACAGCGATCACATATCTTTTTGCTTCATACAGTATAAGTATTTATTTGTCGGGGGGGGGGGGGGAATCACAGTTCTGACCATTTTAACAGAAGGTAAATGGGGTGCCTTACGCATCCGTTAAGGTTTAAGGCACCAAGAATTCTTCAAAAAAAGACAGAAGTTTGTTTGTTGGCCTCATCTATGTAATGAGGCCCTGGGGGGGAGGGGCACAAAAAAAAGATACTGGTATGCCACATACAGTCCTTGAATTGCACTGTTGTTATGCCCGTCTTATAGCAGCTGAAATATTACAGGAAATAGTTTTCAGAAAACTTGAAAATAATTTTAGGAATACAAAAGTGTATGTTCGTCTTTGTAAGCTGCATCCCATTTTTTCAACCCCACAAATAATCCTCAGTTAACATTGGAATTTCTGTCTCTAAACAATGTGGACGTAAAATGCAGTATCATGTGACCACACCACCTAGCAACAGTAATCCCAGAAGCCCCTGTTGCTGTGGTTAAGCAAGGCTTCTGGGTTATTAAGCAAGGACTTCCTTGAAAATTTCCTGCTGGCTTCCAACAACCCAAATCAGTGGGGAAGCCGGCAGGAAGTTGCAAGCCCTAGGCAGCTTGCAAGCAGGCTGGCAGGCAGATATGGAGGATGGAGAAGGGTATGTGAAGTCTGGTGTGGCATGACAAGAGCGTAGCAAGGCTTGGGGAGGCTGCTCTGGAGCAGGAGAGAAGATACAAGGATCCAGTGTGGTGCAAGGCTTTCAGTGGGTGCTGAGGAAGATGCACAAGGGTATGTGAAGATCTGGTGCAGTGCACTGTTTTTCTGGTGTAAATCCCTGCTTATCTGGATTAACTCTGTTGTTGGTTTATCTCTATATGTCTGAGCCATCAAAAGATACATACAGGTCATCACATGACTAAGCCATCAATGGACATATAGAGATAAACCACATTGATGCACCGTTCAATAAAAAGGCTAAGAAGGAAACAAAAAGAACACATCTTCTCCAGCAACCAAAACCCAGATAAGCAGGGATTAACACCAAAAAAACAATCAAGCAGAAAACAATGCCCTAATTAAGGAATTACCAAGGGAATAAAACCACCTCCCCAGCAACACCAGCAAGGCAAGCTTCTGTATATAAATAGGGAACAAAGCCAATATTTACCAGCCCTGATGATGTCTACAAACAAACAACCAAGCTGAGAGAGCACTAAGGACTCCACAATGTCATTAACACAATAAGCTTAAAATATTTTACAATTAAAATTTTCCCAAGGGGAAATATTATAAATAATATAGTCTAAATATAATCTAAACAGGCTTGTATCCCTCAGAATGCTTCTCAAGAGGCAACATAGTCACATTATGTCAAGGATAACTGAAACAAGACAAAAATCTGGGCCACGTACTTCTTTATCCATGGTTCGGAACATCGGGCTAATGATGCTTTCTAAGAAAAAGGTCATAGCATCCCAATGCACAAAGGAAGGAGAAAAAATGGAGTAGGATCTTTCATTTGTTTTAGCTACCAAAGGAAGACAAAATTAAGAAAACTTTAGAACATTCACAGTATCAGACTCTGCTTTCAATAAGAATGTATTGTCATAAACAAAATGTCACAATGAATGCAGTTATAATAAAAATATGTTTTGCTGGAAAGCTGCTTTCAGTATAAAAAGCAGTAATTGTGACATTATGATTAATTGGAGAGATGTATGGATTGCAGAGACATCACCCTGCCAACAAAAGTGCGTATAGTCAAGGCCATGGGTTTCCCAGTTGCAATGTATGGCTGTGAAAGTTGGACCGTAAGAAAGCATGAGTGCCAAAGAATTGAGGCCTTTGAACTATGGTGCTGGAGAAGACTCCTGCGAGTCCCTTGGACTGCAAGGCGATCAAACCGGTCAGTCCTAGAGGAGATCAACCCTGACTGCTCTTTAGAAGACCAGATCCTGAAGTTGAAACTCAAGTACTTTGGCCACCTAATGAGAAGGAAGGACTCACTGGAGAAGAGCCTAATGCTGGGAAAGATTGAGGGCAATAGAAGAAGGGGACGACAGAGAATGAAGTGGCTGGATGGAGTCACTGAAGCAGTAGGCGTGAGCTTAAATGGACTCCAGAAGATGATAGAGGACAGGAAGGCCTGGAGAAACATTGTCCATGGGGTTGTGATGGGTCGGACACAACTTCGCAACTAACAACAGCAACAAAGTGATCATCATATTTCAAGTATCCCCATCTTAATGGAAAGTTTAACTTGGAAAACTAAAGAGAAACTGCTAGAGCCAAGCAAAGAAAACCATGTTGTGCACCGTGTTGAATACTGAGCATTTCCCCTCCTCTTAAAGAAACTTACAATTCACAGTTCCAGTATCAACAGGAAGGGACAACTGGTATTTTAGCCATTCCCCAGCCATCTGGAAGCCAGTATTAGGGTCTAGCCGACATGCCATCCTTATCACGTCTCCCTGTTGTGCACGGAAAGCTGGCAAGAAAAAACAACAGTAAAAGTCTCACTTGCAGCTAGCATGACTGAGAATTACTCATGTAAACAACTTGGATATAAAATCTGAAATCTGAAGTGTTCATCCTGCAAAAGGAAACTTGAATGAGTTTATAGATTAATCCCAGTTTCTGATGAATTACATGCTGCTGGTGAATTCAAGAGTCTGTAGGTAATATAAAAATGGATACACTGGAGGAACACTGATTTTTTCTCCAAACATTTTTCAGATATACTTGAAAATATCTACTTTCTAAAGAAAATTTAAATAGAAGGCACAACAGAACTTTGCAATAGCTTTCTGCTCTGAAATTATTTGTACTGAGATTCTGTTAATGCTGTTCAAACCAAAATATATTGACAATCTTTTAGTTGGGTTTTGCTGGAACAGCAACTTACAATTGAAGAAGCAATTGAAGTCTTCATCACTGTCAAAATCAAAACGAGAATATTCACAACTAGGACAGTCTGTCTTGGATGGAAATCCCAACTATAAAAAGAGAAGGATGAGATGAGAGGTGAAAACATTATGCACATATATTGTCAAATAAAGATTCTGGAGAATAATCTTAAAACAAATTAATGAATATGTAACATATTTTACTGACTGGAAAGTATTCTGCCTTCATCCAGTCATATCAGAGCGTGCTAGGAAAGAGGTTCAGAAAATAGCTGACTCAGTTTGAAAGCTTATTCTTTTTCCAAACATTCATATTTACATCTTATTACACTCTTAACATACCTTCACTAGATTAGTCATGCATGCCCGCAGATAATTTGGGATAATAGCCAACAATACAGGATCACGTGACAGGACTTCGTGCCGAAAAAGAGCACCCCATGTGATCTGAGTAGAAGAACGTAAGAACTAGGAAAATAAAAAATTAAAGAATCTATTAGATAGAGATTATATCATAAAACTAGAACACCTATATAATCTGCATCAGGGGTCCCCAACCAGAGCCTCAGAAAAGAAAGGGCAAAAGCCCAATATATTATAAATTGAATAAACCGACTAATGCAGCTGAATTTGAGTATGGTGGGTTTGGCTTAAGAAGCCTTTCTTCATCTCAGGCAGGAATAATGAATCCATTTTAAAATATCTGTAATTCATAAGGTCATCACAAATACATCCCATGTGTTTTAATTTAATTTTTACACTTAAATACTGGAAAGTACTTCACTTCAATCCTATCTATTTACCTGACTGGGATGGGTTGTGAAAGCTAGAAATGACTCAAGGTATTTCCCCAAGTTGATAGGTATTTCTACATCAGAATCAGGGCCCTGTTAAGAGAAGAGAAGCAATGCAAACTTAGATCCTAACGTGGTTCAGATGACAAGGATTTTACCTGTTACCAGCAGAAAAGCTTCCTTCCTGCATGAAGCTTTCTGTGGACAGGAGACTCCTGTCTGGAGTGTTCCACCATACAATTAAGAGCAGCATTTTACTTTCCTGCTCACTTCCTTGATATTTAAAACAGAGAGAATAAATCTTAAGCGCAGGGGAAGATGCCAATACAGCTTTTTCCAACCTGATGCCTCCAGATGTGTTAAAATTGGAATTCTTAGAGGTGCTGGGATTGTCATAGGGAGCTGAGAAAATGCAGTATGGTTTTGACAGTTACCAGGTGGCTACCAATCATCGACACTGATTCCCAAATTGGGCAAAAGTAAGAAATACCTTTGGAAAACCAGGCTGATTGGTAAGAAGCACGAGGAGATAATTTTTGTCATTATCACTCACCACTAATGCACACAGTTGGCTGCCCAAGGAACATAATACTTGGCAAAGTCTCTTTAAGAAAACATATTGCTTTTCCACTAAATCTTCACCATCTGCAGTCCTAAAAAGTAAAGAAAAAAGCAAGAGTTATGCAGGTTCTACCACATAATTGAGAACCATTTACACATGAGATAACACTGCTTATAAAGTAATATGTAAAGTTTCCCTTCAAGTTGACTCTTCGTGATTTCACTGATACATTCATATATTTTGACAATAGTGATTTGCCATTACATTGTTCTAGGATATGTTTTTGACTTCTCAATCTATTCTATTCTCCTGATACTTCCTCCCAATAATAATCAGATCCAACCCTGCTTAGTTTCCATGCCCACATACACATTAATTAACTGGGGCCTGTTAACAAAATGGATTTTACTGGTGCGTAATTTGATATCTTCCAACCACAATTGTTGGAAGACCTAAAAACCCAGGTCAGGGACAGATCATCATGGAAAAAATCACTATCATTCAACAATTACTTGATGGCACATAACCACTCATGCATTTACAATACCAGAGAGTAGTACTTACTGGGCAGCAGAGAGAATATAGTGCATGGCAACATCCCCAAACAAAACCATTAAGGGCTTGCGATCTTCCAGTTTTCCCTATTTTAGAAAATACATAAAAAATTCATCATGTTATACAGAAACACTGGAAGTTTGTTAGCTAGTATATTATGCTGAATGTTTCTTCTCAGTGATTGTTCAAAGCAGAACATTTAATTCAATATTTCCCCTTTTCTTCATTTAAAATGTTAGCAACAGTTCATCAATAAATAACAGCAAATTAAATTGAAGCAGTAAAGTTCATCCAGCACTCAAAGGTTGGAAACAGAACATTAGCAATCATTTTGGAGAAATTCTCTTGAATTGCTAGCCTGTACTCTAGCTGCCAGAGGAATAGTCCAAAATACCAAATAGAAGGAAGTTCATAATAAATAAGAAAGGACTTTTACAGCAGGGGTCCTCAAACTTTTTAAACAGGGGGCCAGTTCATTGTCCCTCAGACTGTTGGGGGGCAGACTATAGTTTGGAAAAAAATAATGATTACGGAACAATGTAAAATCAAGTATAAAATGAAAAAAAAAATGAAACAAGAAAAATGAATTGGTTAATTATTTGAATGAGTTTTTAAGTGAAGAAAATATACATTTCCAGTGAATCCACGCATGTTTTGTTTGGGAATGCAACTGTTGGTTTTTCCACAAATAGTTTTTGAGTTGTGGGAAGATGGCAGAAGTTTTCCTCCCTCACTTGTTAAACGAGCATGTCCAATTTTACTTCAAATGCTTGCATATGTGAATGCATATCAGATGAATTTCCCCTTTCCTTGAAGTTGCACATTGAAAAGGTTGAGTAGTTCTATTACATCGGTCAGAAAGGCAAGGTGCCATTTCCATTCAGCATTTCTTGCAAGCATCTCATGACCCAAACTAGGTAACATCAGCGATGCCAGAAGAGAATGGGGTTTGTGGAATGGAGGAGGAGAAGAGAAGGAGAGCGGCTGTGGAGTTCTTGGTGCTCTCTGAGCTTGGTGGCTTTCTTGCAGATGTTTCATGACCCAAACTAGGTAACATCAGCAATGCCAGAAGAGAGGGGGTTTGTGGAGTGGAGAAGAAGAGGAGGGTGATGTGGGTTCTTTGGTCCTCTCTGAGCTTTGTGACTTTCTTGCAGACGTCTCATGACCCAAACTAGGTAACATCATCAGTTCACTTATTATCCCACTTTGGGTCCTGAAACATCTGCAAGAAAACCACCATCCTCAGAGACGCCCCCCCCCCCCAAGGACCCTTCATTTTAACCCTGAGCCAGAAATATTCTCCTTGATTGTCATTCCGGACCGTCTCAGGGCAGAAGAACCTACCTGACAAGACCTCATTCCTCTTTCCCAAAGGGCGCATCCTAACGCCCCCATCCTTCCTCCACCCTTTTCTGGACCCTAAAAGCCAATGAAGTTTCTCTCAACCATCAGCACCGGCACCCCCAGTTCCTCTGAGCTACTCCACCGCCTCTGGCTTTACCTACCTCTCGGGGCTTCACCTGGATGCGGCACCCCTCCCCCCGTTCATGGATCGGGATGGTCCTCCAAAGGCCGACTGCGTCCTCCCTCCCAGCGGCTCCCCCGACCTTTCATCGCCTCAGCTCCACACAACCCGTCGCAAACCCAAAATAACCTTCCAGAAGTAAATTCTCCTTCTTTCTGGTTCACCCCAGCCGCCCCTCACAAATACCTTGCACCTTGCCCGCTCCCCTCAGACCCATAACCCATAACTCCAGCAGCCCCACTCTGACCCTCAGAAGGGTCAAGCCCACTCACTCGGAGCCGTCGCCCTTGCCGCCGCCGGTGGCGCTTGGTCCTTCGGCGATGGTGGGGATGATGTTGAGGGCCGGCAGCACCAGTTTCCTCTTGGCCGGCATGGCGGCGCGGCAGCAGTGGCGGAGGCTGGGGCTCATGTTCCGTAGCGCCTAGCGAGGGACCCGCCTTAGAAGAAGCAGCAGCAGTGGCGTCATCATCGCCCGGCTTGGCTGCCCTAAGTGAGGCCGAGGCTGCAAGCGAGGCCTAAACCTCTCAGCCTGGCCCTGAGGTAAAAACGCGAAGAGGCGAGAGGAGAGGAAGGGGGCATGGCCAAAGTGCGGGCGTGCGCTTAGGCGCATGAGTTAGCAACTGGGAAAAAAAATCTCCTCCCACCAACTCACCATCCTGCCATTGGCTGGGGCTCTCGCTGCCATCCACCTACCCTCTCCTCACGATTGGACGGCTTGCTTAGGAGGTTGAGGTGGGCCAGATAAAAGGCACGGGGGGCCGAATACGGCCCACAGGCCGTAGTTTGAGGACCCCTGTTTTACAGTCTTCCACTTCACAATCTTGTCCTATATCTATGAATGTAGTGTATGCCCAAAACATGCTTATGAAGAAGATAGAAAAGAAAAAAATCACCTTTCTGCTGACTACAATCAGGAGGCACTCTGCTGCTCCTATTTGAAGCTCTGGCTCATTCAAAAGCAAGCACAGCATCTCCAGTAGCTTGCAATTATCTGCTGTGATATGATTCATAGCCACCCAGTCTATATAACCAGCCAGAGTATTGAGTGCTGCAATTCCTACTCGACAATTTGCTTGTGCCTGGAGGAAAACAATTGCAATTGAGAGTCCACAGAACTACACATCTATTAATATGTCATCTATTAACAGTCTTAATCCTATTACTAAAACACAGTGAAAGTATTAAGCGCATTTCCCTCACGTCAACTTTTAATGTTTTTGTTCCTGTGAAAGTACTGGGCTAATCTGAAAATATTATTTCCTTTAAATGCTGGAAATCAGGCTGGGCAACCCACAGATCCTGACCCTTCTTTTTGTTGCTTCTGGAAGCTATCTCTGACTGCTGAGAAATGTAATTATGATTTTCTGCTTTTCTGAAATGGGGAACACAGGAAACATTACTCTAAATCCCAAAACAGGCAAATCACTATTAAAACTATCTTCCCATATTCTACCACATTCACATTTATAGTGCACCACTCTCTTTGAAACCTTCAACATCCCTCCAAAGTGTCAATTGTGGCTCGTGGCTTCCCCAAATTGCCCATTCTGATCTATATGGGGAAATGCAGTGGGAGCAGTACCCAAACAAAGTTATGAACTCTGATAAACATTGTCCCTTATATTCTATCATATGTAGTAGGAGGGGATTTAATCAACAAAACATTGAAAAAAAACAACAAACAATAGCATTAATGGCAACAGATATTTGGAAAAGAATGACCATATTCTAAGCATCAGGACCATGAGAAATGTTTGTATTTCTTAACCCTGGTTTCACTTACTTTTGATTCTTGAGCTGCATCCATTTTCTGGAAAAGAAAAAAAGTGAATGGTTTATTGAAACATAGTTTGGTTCCTCAATATTACAGTACCTACCAATTCTCTTTTTATAGGAGACAGTCATACCAGTAGGATGTTTCTAAAGCTTTATTTCCATTTTTAGCAATCAAATGCATATTTAAATGAGTCAACAAGATTATTTATCTTTAGTCTTGAGGTTTAAACAGTAATTCTGTCAGAATCTGCAGTTCTACAATGTTAAGGATTACTTTACTCATTTTACATTAATAATGCAGTAATACACGAGGGAAGCAAATCCACAATTGGCAAGATAAACATATTTTTAAGAAAGAGTTCCATAAAGCCAACAACTGGTATAAATAATAAACAATCCAATTAAACATATTGTTCTTCTACAAAATGACAAACTGCTACGAGCAATCCATGAATGATAAACAAATAAAAATATTCAACAAGATGAATCTCGTTCTTATACACCCAGACTACTGTTTTAGAATAACAACTGAATTCGATTAGGACATATTCTGGATAATTGGTGCCTTATCCCCTTCTTTTACAATATATATATGATTAAGAAGACTTCACTATAAGAGAACCTGTACAATTTGTAATACGTAATCTGAAGAGGTTTCTGTTGCTCAGGTTCAAACATTGTTAATGCAGCACCATTAACAATCAACCCTTTCATTTCAAACATGCCAAGAATTAAGGCTGGTAGTCCCTTTTTGTACATAACGTCCAATTTTCAACATTAACTGGTTTATTACAGGATTTATTTTAAATCTATTTAAAATAAAAGCAATAAGCTACACATGAAAACATAGTCTCTGTTGATTTGTTATAATTCTTGAGTCTCTATAAATCAATTTACTTCAAAAGCCAGGGGATGCTTTCTGCCACAAGGATCAAATTCTTTTGACTCTACTTCACATAAGGAGCTAACTGGTATCAGTGATGTTCTCATTTTTTTTGTTATTCCCAACATCTGAGACTATGTAGTTCTTACTAACCAATGGGGGCCTCTTACCGCACATCTGTATTTATTAACATTTTGCTGTAGTGTATTTAGCAGGAAACTGAAAATTTTCTCCATATTTTGGGAAAGAGTTTGCTGAATATCCCGTCGTCGTTGGGCTGGCAATGTCTGGAAAGTAACCACGTCTTCTGCCAGGCGCAGAAGTATGAACATCACTAACTCTGTCTGGGTTTCCTAGAATGAAAAGCAAAGCAAAGCAAACCAAAAGGAAACAATTCTCATTACCATAGGAATAACATTTAGTTTTCAGAGGATGACTATGGATTATGCTGAAGGACCGGGCACATAACCAGATGCAATAACCTCAAGTACAATTATCTCCCAGAGAGGGTTGGAGCCTCCGTAGCGCTCACAGCACTCCCAACTTATACTATTGACTATCATTATTAAGAGATAATAAAAAATAATATTAGAAATGGATATAAATTTTACAAGATTGATGGTCTCACATGAGATCTGTATTTTTCATATTTTAGCTTTTAGAAATTTATTGTTTGACGTGACCTCACCCAAAATCATAAAATTGTACTCATGCCCTGTAAGTGTGGCCAATCTACAAAAACAAGTCCAAAAAAGGTAGAGTAATATCACTGTAGGACATCCTACCCCTTCTTCAGACAGCGTGTCCAGTTCCTTCAGCATATCAGGCCAATGCTGTGGCCATTCACGTTTAATCATCTCTACCACAATGCGAGAGAGAACATCCTTAATGTGACTTTCTTCTTCTAAAATATTCTGGGTACCCTGTTAATGAAACATTGAAAGATTACAAGATGGAAGACAGGACTATTATATTATTCAATACTCACAGACCTATCTTTAGAAATACAGTATAAATTTTTACAGAACCCTTTAAATTAAATCAAGTAAGCACACAATCCTAGTCCATTAGAGTTTGGAATAATTTAAGTAGGATAACTATAAAAACAATGTTTTGATTATTTCTATATTAAATGTGACAATTTATATCCAGAGAAATATAAAAGCCCAGTCTCATACTGTATTATCTATACCAAGGCTTTTCAACCTTTTCACCCATTGTACAATTTTTAGGTTATGGCAATATCTGAGTACCACCAGTCGCCTAGCAAGGTGTCAAAAACAAGATGACCAAAAAAAAAAAAAAAGGAAAAAAGTGATAAAGTACAGGTAGTCCTCGACTTAGTGACTGTTCGAAGTTACAATGGCACTGAGAAAAGTGTCCCCCAAGCCACAGCCGAGCAAGACACCTGCCTGCCTATCCAGCGGTGCTCTTCCTCCTGTCTGAGGTTTTCATTGTTTTGAGCATTTCTGTTGAGGATTGGCAGCGGGGTGGGGTGGGGGGGGGTGTTTGGTTTTTATTCCCCCCCATTTGCTGGGTGGTTGCAGCAGGTTTTGGTCACTTCACATGACCCTGGGACACTGTGACATTCATAAATATGAATCAGTTGCCAAGCATCTAAATGTAAATCACAAGACCCTGGAGATGCTGCAACATTCCAGCTGACTGGCGCTTCTTCTGGGCTCAGCAGAAGCACCAGGATCAGCGCTGAACTCCAGCTGGAAAGCAGCACTGATCCTGGCGCTTCCGCTGAGCCCTGACAGCTCTGCAGCTCCAGCCATCTCTCGCTCAGGTTTGTGCGGTGCTGCCACCGGTTCAGCTCATTCCCCTCCCCCACTACCACTTTTCTAGGATGGTAGTGTACCACCTGCCAGGTGCCAATGTACCACAGGTGGTACCCGTACCACTGGTTGAAAAGCCCTGGTCTATACAACAAACTGCTTTACTACATGAATGAACAATATCATAGAGACAAGTTTTATTCCTTGCTTTTATAGCTGACTAGTGCAGCTTTTCATCACGATATAAATACAATAGCACTTTCGTCCAGAAAAATAAATTATAGAGTCTATAACTAAGGAATGATTTAAACAATAACACCTTATTTTTGTGAAAAATACTGTACCATTAAAATAAAATTTAGCAGCTTACGTTCAAGAAGTAGCGAGACTTACATTGGATATTAGTGCCATGACATTGTTCTTCAAAAAGACTTTCTCAAGTCGACCCATAGTATTCCATCGAAATCTAACCCCCAAAAAACACAGACATCAAATCTCTGTTATGTTGATTATTAATAAGTAAACTTTCATAACATGGTAATATAAGAGAAATATTCTGTTCTCAAGTTGTCCTATCCAGCTCAACTTTCCCGTATAAAAGCAAAAGCAGTATAGCCTTTAAAAGAATTAAAGGCAGTTGCTATTTAACAACAATAACAAGCAAGCTGGAGGGTGGGTGAATATTACAGAGAAAGGTAGGGATTGTGTCCTATAGCAAGTGTGTGCAAGCTATTTCATTAACACCAAAATACTGAGTATCAATTCCTTCCATGAATTGCCACCAGGTCACCTTTGTTATAAACTATAAACTATTATAATGATATTATAACAATATGATTGCATCTATTGCTATATTATAAGATTGTTGCAAGTCTAACTTCAAGCTAAAAAACATCTGGGAAATTGCAATATTACACCACTTGGTGGAACTAAAAATTCTTACTTCACCACATGCTCCAAGATCTGAAGACCAAAATGCCTGACAATAGCAGTCTGGGATTTTTCTGCTAATTTCAACCCGCAAGGAACACAAACTGGACTTTTTTCTTTAAATTCTTCACAAAACTGAAAAGGAATAAGAATTTATTTTAAGCACACAAGTGTATAATTTGTCCACCAAGTTAATTACGAAAAGGCCAACCAAATTCTGAGATAAAATATTATTTGAAATAATTCCTATTATATTGTTTTGAAAACATGGTAGTTTATGGTATTATATTGCATACCAGCTGATACAACTTTCAGGATACTACCCCAAGGCCATGTGATCACCTTTTGCGACCTTCTGACAAGCAAAGTCAATGGGGAACCAGATTCACTTAACAACCAGGTTACTAGCTTATCAGCTTCAGCAATTCACTTAACAACTGTAGCGCTTAACAACTATAGCAAGGAAGGCCGTAAAGCGGGGCAAATCTCACTGAACAAATGTCTCGATTAACAACAGACACGTCGGGCTCAACTGTGGTCGTTAAGTCGAGGACCACCTGTAGTAGGAATGATTTAAAATAATAATTTTATCTCAGAATAAGCGGCCACGTGGACAAGGCATGGACAGCCGATCGATCGTTGACGGCCGGGCGGGAATGTGCGCCCAAGAAGCGTCGAGGGCCCGAAGGCATCAATAAAGCCGAAGAGGCAAAGGGAGTTTCCGTCTTCTCCATCCCGAAAGGGTGACCAGACGAGTAACAGTAAAAGGCGAGCAGGAAATGCCGCCGGCGGCCAAGCGCTTCCGTCCCAGCCTCCCCCACAGCGAGTTTACTTTCGGGCCGTTCGTTGTGTGCATGCTCGAAGGGGCGTTTCCGCCGCCGCCACGATACCTTGAGGGCCTCTAAACGGTAGCGCTGCGTAGAGGCCGGGTCCATCATCGCCGTCACCGCCTTCACCAGTTGCTCACAGAGCGTGTTCACGGGGTCCCACGACATTGTGCCTGGAAGCAAGAATCGATGGGGGGATGGGTGGGGGGGAAACAGGAGGAAGAAAGGTGCCGTTGCCCACGGCAACCAAGCACGGGGAAAGCCAAGAAGCAACACCGTGCCGGGTCCACGGAGAGAAAAGTCACAATGCGCATGTGCAGAAGATCAGCTGATCTTCAAAGAACGGCGGCCGGACAAGCTGGGCAACTCTATGGTACGCATATAGAGTTAGAAGAGTGAAATGCTTGGTTTTTCTTTATTGGAGGCGGGTTCTTTCAGATTTTTCTTTCTCCCCCCCCCCCCAAATGTTTGGTTTTTCCCTTTCTTCAGAGAAAGTCATTCCACAAAGGCCAATCTGCAACAGGGAATACTCACAAATGGGTGAAACGACTTTCAGCTTTAAAAAATTGACCTAAGCTTGACAGGGTTGAGTTTCAGATTTAGTTTCATGGGCGAATAGGGGCCGGATGGAGGAATAATTGTCCTCAACACTGTCCAGAAGTCATAAAACTCACGTTTCTTAAGCTTCTTAGGCTACCAAAAGGTCTGGTACCACCTTTTTTTGACTAAATCATTTTATGAAATGGTATTAGCTTTTGGTTAGTGTTGTGCTTCAGGGTTTAGTGACCCTAATTTAGACAACAGATTTCCTAACGTTTTTTTCTGGCAACTGTGATTGGCATCTTCAGGGGAAAGCGATCTGCTAGGCAGACCACAGGCAAACGAGCAGGAAGTGACTAGGTTGTTATCTTTATAGGCAGGTGTCTTGACTTATGACTGGCATACGTTTTTGTGATCTGCAGTTCCTTTCATCAACAACCTTTTCACCAACCTGTTTTCCCCTCCCTGACTTGCCCCAATTTGAATCCTACATCGGTCTCGCACTCTGTGCTTCTGATGAAGAGAGCTGCAGATCATTAAAACTTACGCTTTTTAACTAAATGGGCGGCTCAGTTAACAAGCTCTTCCGATTTTTTTGCCAACATAGACCAACATGGCTTTTGTCTCACATAGGGTAATGTGGGAAATCGGGGGGGGGCGGGAGAAAAACCCGAGAGAAGGCAAATAGTTTTCATACTCAGAAGAAAAATGGATCTGTCCCTAAAAGCATGAAAAGTCGAGCTGCATTCGAAGGAAAATACCTGTACGGGTATGTTTCTTTTTCAACTACGTTTCCCAAGGTGCCTTGTGTTTTGGGGCGGAAGTTAGAAACCGTACAGGGAGGGATTTTTATTTCTTTAATCTTTCAAGATGGCGGGAATGTAACTCAGGGAGTTTATAGCGGAATTCCCTTTTGGCCTCGGTTTAATCCTGGTTGGTGGCCGTCAGAGGAGAGCAATGGTTCGGGGGCAGGAGCGAGTGGTGGCTTTGGCGGATATGGACTGCTTCTACGTACAGGTGGAGCGACGCCTGGATCCCCGTCTGCATGGAAAGCCGTGTGTCGTGGTGCAGTATAAGACCTGGAAAGGTGGCGGGTAGGAAGCTCCTCTTCTTGTAGAGGGAACGAAATGAAGTGGTAGATAATTAAGGCGAAGGAATGACTCACTACAGAAAACAAACGATTGATGTCTTCTTCCGGCATTGTTAAAAGAATTGGAACTTAACTGGGACTTTAACATTGTTAAAAGACACTGGGACTTCGGGGAGACGGTTTTAGCCTCGTTCTACTCCGCCCCCCCCCCTCCAGTTTGGTGTGATGAGGGTACAAGCGACGGAGTGACCTTGCGCCTGTCATTCGCTCTCAGGCTTAGGAAGGAGGGCAGACTTTGCGAAATGTTGCCAAGAAAACTGCAGGGACTAGTCCACGATTCAAAAAGCTGATTCAAGACCACACACAAAAAAGTCTTCCTTATGCATTTTATTTACAACACGTAAATACTGTACATAAATAGTATTTTGCATTCAGTGTTTTGCTTTGCGTACATATCTAGATTAAATAATGTGGATTCATAAACCATAGAATGAAAAAAATGGATTTTACATGTATATATGGTCTTATTTCTGGACCTGCTTTGGTAGTTTCCTCATTTCAATATCGGATATCTCTCAGATTGGCTTCCTTAACATTTCTCTGGTCTTTTTCTTTTGTGTTTTACACATAGAACTCTAGAATCCTTAAATAGGATAATTTTTGCTCAGCCTTGGCCAAAATATGTATTTTTAACTTGGAAATAAAACTGCTAGCACTGTGGTATCTGCAGTGATTCAGCAGCTGTCAACTCCCATGGGCTCCTTAATTTCTCAGTATATTCTAAATGTTGAAGGCATGAATATTCCCTCAAAATGCCTAAAATATTCTATGATTTAAGAAGAAAATCCTCAGTTGTATTCAATCTGTAGGTGATATTGTAAGTTCTCTTATCTAATGCTAAACTGGAAAAATTTTGATCATTTTATCCTTCATGTAATGTCTAATATATTTTCCTTTCATGGAACTCAGCATAATTGCTGTGAGCTATGAAGCACGTGCTTTGGGGATTAAAAAAACCATGTGGGCTGCTGATGCCAAGAAATTGTGCCCAGATCTCCAGTTGGCTAGAGTACCAGAGGCCCGTGGCAAAGCAGATCTTACCAGGTAAACCTGGGGTTGATAGCCTTTTACAATTTCTCTTGTTTTTTTCCCTTAAATAATTGGAAAACCATCTGAAACAAAAAAAAATTACTCAGGATGATTTTTAATCACAGCTACTTTTTGGTGAATTTTCTGCTTTTGGAACTTATATTTGTTTTCCAAACAATTTAAAGAAATATGTTATGCTGCCTCTTAAAAAACTGGATGCAGTATTTCAGTCTATTCATCTTTAAAAAATATAATATGGTAACAGTATTTAGGACAGTGATGTAATAGTAGCACTAGGAATGAATTAATAGAATTTTTGCATGTATGTGTATGTGTGGGGGACAGGATTTTACCTCATTTTTTAAAATATTTAAAGCCTGAAACTTTGCATATTTCATTTTCTATTCATTTTATTACTTTCTGCTAAAGATCATAGAGCTATGATCATCAAGAATACTTTATGGCTGAATTTGGATATATAATTTCAGATGTTTTAAAGCCATACAAAAACAAAAGTGATTAAGGGGTTCTCATGTAAGTTATCAAACTCTACATGGTGCTATGAAAAAAATAATGCTACAGACCCAGAACTTTGATGGCTAGATTTTTATTAGGTTCCTGAGATGGAAAGGGTAGGATAAACAGAAATATATATAAAAAAAATGGTGTCTTTATGTAGATACAGAGAAGCCAGCATAGAAGTGATGGAAGTGATGTCACGCTTTGCTGTGATTGAACGTGCCAGCATTGATGAAGCTTATCTGGACTTAACTCAAACTATACAGGAAAGGCTGCAGAAGATGGATAAACCTATTTCAGTAGAGCAGTTGGGAACTACATATATTCAAGGATTCCCAAACAACCTTGAAGAAGAAGAAAATACGGACAACAAAGGTAATGTGTTTGTGTGTGTGTGTGTGAGGTGGGGGAACTCCATTATCCAATTATGCAAATTGAATAGCATTTGCAAGCAGATTGGATTCTCTTCCCCAACTGCATTCACTTGATCTTCTGTGATATTGCTATTAGGGATGAGTTGAGATTGTCACATTGAAGCTAGAAAAACTTTCAGTGCTACTTATTCTTTTTATCTAAACTAAAGTATAGGGAACCAGAGACTGGTTTCCCACATTTCTTGTTTACTTTTGGAACTAAAAGATTCATTCATGCAGGCTTTTCTCACTTAAAAGTTTAGCTCACTGTGATATGTTTGGGTTCCAGAAAAATCAAAATAGAATACCAACACAAAGGGCTCATTCTGTGTGCTGACTCTAGGACAGTAGTCCCTTTTATATATTTATACATTCTAGCAAGGCTTGTTTGGTCCAACACTGGGACTTTTCTCACATCTGTTTTTTTAGGAACCATGGTGTATGTTCCTCAAACTTTTATTATGATTTTTTACATGTTGTATAAACTGAAGTCTTCCTGAGCAAACCTTTATGCTTTTTGGTCTGCTTTGAATGGATCTCACATGCTCCAGTCACCTAAATGCATTGTGTAAGGTTATATATATTATCACTGTACCATAGCATTATATAATGAATGACATTAGATGCTAAAAACAGCTTATTGGTATATTGATATGTGGTTCATTAATGAATATGGTTATAAATGATTAACAGTCTAGCGAGATGCTTGCTTTGAATCGGTTTGTGTTCCTTTTTAGAGGAGATAAGGCAACGTGGTGTGTGCCAGTGGCTCAAGTCATTGCCTTGTGGAGATCCCAGCAATCCAGAATTGCAGCTGACAGTAGGGGCATTGATTATGGAAGAAATGAGGGCTGCTGTGGAGTCTGTCACTGGATTTCAATGTTCTGTTGGAATTTCTCACAATAAGGTATGCTGCTTGTTTTCTAAGGTTGAACTCACTCAACATATACAAGTCTTCATTGGTCTATGTCAAAATCTGTATCCAATGAATGGAGGAAATATAAAAGAGAAAGAAGAAAGGAAGGCCTGGAAGCACTTGGGAAAGCTCTGCTGGATAATACTGAGGAGATGCTACGGTGGAGTAAAAATTATTTTGGGGTTATGTCCTAAAATATGCTTATAATGAGTCAGTTTCCAGATAAGTCTTATTTGCCTAACTGCTCTCAGCTGAGATATGTACCAAATAGAGTGGGTTGGATGCTCTTCCTCCACCTCTAGGAAGAGAAATAGTTGCTACAAGTCTAATCTCATGGGAAATGGTTTGTCCGTAACAAGGGAACAGACATAAAGTCCCACAATTTCAGGCCACCGTCCTTCTGCCCATTAGAAAAAACAATTACAGAGTGTAACCTGGCACGTATTTCATCCGTAATAAGTTATGACAGGCCTGTAGTTGCCACAAGGCCATAAAGTCTCAGCCAAAACAGTTGTGGCTTGAATGTTGAGATGTCCTAGACCAGGGGTAGGGAACCTTGGCTCTTTTATGACTTGTGGACTTCAATACCCAGAATTCCTGAACCAGCCATGGTGACTCAGGAATTCTGGGCGTTGAAGTCCACAAGTCATAAAAGAGCCAAGGTTCCCTCCCCCTGTCTTAGATCCAATACTGTCTTTCACCTTAGGGCAGGCAGCAGGGCATCCACAGATTTTCAAGTCTGTCCCAAGTTCAAAATCCAGGGAGGGAGGGAGGGAGATCGATCCTATTGATGAGCAGTTTCTCTTCTCTGACTGTATTGAGTACCCTCTTCTACTAGTATTTGATTCAGGGTTCAGTTATACTCCAGGTCAGCCTCTTCATCCATTGTCAAATCGAGGGTGAGGGAGATCTGATTTACTAACTTGGCATTTAGCAACAACATCTGTAGGCCAAAGGGTAAAAGCCAACATGATTACCACAGTCCATTTAGGTAACAAGAGGAGGAAGGAACTGGCACATGTTATCTCCTCTCTTTTCTTCATAACCCGACCTGTTATTTTCCCTGAAACACACTTCCATCTGCCCACCTAACTGGAGCCACCTATCCTTCCCCTTATATATTTGCAGGAATCTCATAAACTCTTATAACAAAAAATAATGCAGCTTATTCAACTCTGAAGTGGCTTCCCCCAGGAGGTGAACATTCTAAGTCTGCTACCTGCTCAGGCTTAGTCTTGCTCCACTTAACCTTCAAAGGCTTTCAGGACAAACTGGAATGAATACCCACCAAGTGGGGCAATTCTATCCTGGACCAAAAAGCAAGTAGCCCAAGTTGAAGCTAATGCATTAGTTTCCAGAATTCTATAGAAAGCTCTGCTTGTGAACAGATAATTCTTTCCAAGTTTGCTTTAAATGTTTTTGTAATTTTATAGATCCTGGTATTAAGAATAAACACAATTATATTGGGAATTTTGGCCATAGAATGAATTAAATGCAAATAACAGATAAGAATAAAAATGAGGGAAAACAGCGGAGAACTTATATTTTTGACCAGAAATTATTTTCTTTTGGTTAAATAAGTTAAATGTGTCATTGTATCCTTGAAATTTCACAATACAGTGACCCTCTATCTCTGTATAATTTTGAGTAGTTATATTTTGCCCTATGTCCTATATTTTGATTTCTTCTAAAATTTGAATTTGGGAAATTGAAAAGCCACTGTTGGTAAACTAGCCATTTGGTTCATTTCAGGTATTAGCAAAACTGGCCTGTGGCCTCAACAAACCAAATCGACAGACTCTGGTATCACAGGGGGCTGTTCCTCAACTCTTTAGCAAGATGCCAATCAGCAACATGTACGTAAAACTGAGGATATAGCCATGACTTTCCAAGTAATGCTTTTCTCCTGCATGTTACTGCTTGGGCATATTTGTGCTTGCTTCCTACTAGTATAGGCAGAAGCTACTTATTCATTACCGATTCTGTCAATATGCTTTAGCCATTCGTCAAATAGCGCAAATCCTACAGTCCTTCGCTCTTTGGGTGATTACCTGAATACTTTCGTTGGTTGGTACCCGGATCTAGTACTTTCCATTCTCCATCCAATTGGCTTCTTTTTCTCCTATAGTCGCAACCTTGGAGGCAAACTAGGTGCTTCTATTACTGAATGTCTCGGAGTGCAGTATATGGGAGAGCTGATCCAGTTCAGTGAATCACAGCTTCACACACATTTTGGAGAGAAGACTGGGCAAGTCCCTTTTTTGAAATTTTCGATTCTATGTATTTTCTTTTTGTGCTTATACAGTATAGGCTGTGTAGTACTTAACTTGGAAGGGAGTGTATAGAAAGTAGGCTAGTTCTGCTGAGAATCGAATCAGTGTGTTCTTATGTTTTCTTTTGCTTATTCACTTATTCCAAAGGAAAATAAGTGGGAAGCAATGAAAAACAAATGCAGTATTGTATGAAATATGTTCTATTTTGAAATGAGTTTTTAGTTAAAAAAAAATCAGCCAAATATGATAACAAATAAAACATAAGACTAGTTGATACAATGTGGGACTATTCTAACCCCTTGGAATGCTGTTTGGATTGACAAGTGGGATATTAAATGAATGAGTGCCAAACGAAATCTTCCTGTAATAGCTTTCCAGCTAATAACAACAATTTATTGGATTATATTCCCAACTTCCCTTCAGCCACAAGTATTGATTTCTTGGACTCATCTTTTTATGTTTTTACATGATATCTCCTGTTTTTACTTCACTGAGCTCAGCACAGAATTCATAGATGTCTAAGATACAACAAATATAAATGGGAATATGTCATAGTAATGTAAAACACATGGACAGAGGTGGATCTTTGGGTGGCCAGTGTTACTTTTGGTTTGTAATACTCCACAAAAAAAGAGTTTATGATTCGCAGTGTTTCAACAGTAGGAGAAACGGTAGATTTGTGGGTGTAAAAATGTAGGTACAGTACATATAATCTATTTGGATACTGAAAACTAAGTCCTATGTCAGAGACTCCTTGTTCCTTAATTCTGTATCTGCCTTTTTGAATCATTATTTTGCACCTAGTTGGTGAACTTTGGAATCTACTGAGCAAAATGTGGCTTTAATGGAAATATATAAATGGTACAACCTTCGTGACAAGGGCCTGTTCCAAAGGATTTTGGAATCCTTTATTTTAAATTGATGTAACTTCCAAATATTTTGGATAATTAAACAAATAGCAACATAAATCAACGATTAGTCGCAAACTTAGAAGAATTATTTACTTGAAGTTCTATGTATGATTTACAGATCCTGGTTATATGAACTGTGCAGAGGAATTGACTATGAGCCTGTGAAAGCTAGACAATTGCCAAAGTCCATTGGTTGCAGTAAGAATTTCCCTGGAAAAACAGCATTGGTTACTCAGAAGCAGGTAAAAATGTGCAGAGAGAATATCATGTGCTTTGGACTGGCAAGTCTTGAGCCAATTGGAATACATTTTGGCAAACTTTGTATAGACTTATTCATTCAGAATTCCAAAATAACTGCCCTTCATTATATTCCTTAATTCTAGCGCAAACTATATAGAAATATTCAGAGCCAACCAACTGCCTTCTCATTATTTGGAGTGTGTCCTATTATCCTCCCATTTTAGGGAGGCCCATAGTCAAATTAGTATTAAAGAGGTAGACATAGAATGTCAACTCAGAATAACAAATAGCTCTTCTACTACAGTAGTGCAGGGGTAAATATGATTTGCTGTTGGAGAATGGGGCATAAGATCTTCACCTTTACATCATTGCACTTAGATCTTCAACAATCAATAAAGAAGCTGTTGGAAAACTTCCTTTGAGAGTTCCATTAGTGGGAATACCCTATAGCTCTTATAATATATTGAAGCAATTTGGATTATAGATTTCTTGGACAATAAGCAGAAAGTCATTCTGCATTTTATTTTGGTATTTTTCCAACTGCATAGATTATATTGTATTGATTTTGTATTGTTGTCATGAATCTATGTATGCATAGATTCTGGTTTTGATTTTGAGGGTACAGGAATCTGAAAGTTCAAGAAAGGAAGATTTTCTTTTGATTTAAGTTAGCAGCATACTAACCATAGTCTTCAGATTGTAACTGTATTGTAATGCTTGTCTGAAGGTGCAGTATTGGCTCTTGCAGTTGGCCTTGGAGCTGGAAGAGAGATTGAATAAGGACAGAGACCAGGTAGGCATCATGTTATCTAACCTGTGTGTGTGTGTGTGTGTGTGTGTGTGTGTGTGTGTGTGTGTGTATAGAACAAGCATGGGAGAACAGCTTTTGCTATTGATGGGGTTTGTTTAATTCAGGGCTTTCTTACAAGTGTTCTGCTGCACAATTGACTACCATGATCTTGAGTAGAATTTCTGGTGATAAATGAATGGATGTCTGCTTTGAAGAGTGAAAATGGTGAAAAAATTCAGTGGAATGGGCAAGAGGAGAACAAAAACTTGGAAAAAAGAAATATGACCATCTAAAAAACATGTTGAGGCCATTTTTTTTTCTACAGTCTTTGTTCCATTGCATTAGCTCAGAGTTTCCTGTTTCTTAATTCATTGTCTATTTCTTAATTCAATTAATCCATTCATTAATGGCTGCATTCTACTGTCTTTTGGCCCAGATGGAAGAAAGGAAAATATGACTGAGTTGGGAGGAGCTACAGCTACAAACTGTAAAAGGACTACTGGGATAAAGTTAATCATTTTCTGTTGGCTATATCTTCAGTGATGAAAAATTTCAGGGGCTTCATATTTAACAAATATAACAAATAACTCTTGTTATGGTCTTTTATGGATCTATTTCCATCATTTATTTATTTCATTGATTTTTCCACAGAACAACCGGGTGGCTAAACAATTGAGTGTTGGCATCCATATGCAGGGTGGTAAACATACCAATTTAACACGCTGCTGTGCCTTATCCCAGTATGATGCTCAAAAAATTAGCAGAGATGCCTTTGCACTAATCCAGAACTGTAACACAGCAGCAGGCCAGCAAGCAACATGGTAAGAATTTTATTTCTTGAATTTAAGAATAAGCTACTTTGGAGGGGGAAAAAATGTTCCTATCCTTTCTGCTTAAGTTTTGTCATGTGCAATAAGATTAGGAAATGAAATATAATAGAATGAGATGAGTAGGAACTTTTTTGTTTGAAAAATAAGGGTTACCAAACATATACTGGCTCTTCAACCAAAACACATTAGAAGATTCTGTGCAAGATGTTGGCAAAGAAGCTGGTGGTATAGTGTGAGTAGCAAAGTTTGTGTTAAAAAATGGGACAGAGCAACATTTGGAATGCTAGTTATCAGTTAGAAGTCAGCTGTGCATCTTGCTTTTGTTTTGAACTAAAGAAAGAAAAGTCTTGAAAGGAAGTCCTAGAAGAAAGAGTAAACAGAAAGAATAATCTTGGGACAGATTCTTCTGTGCTTAGTGAATTCAAATTACTGGAAAATTATAATCCAATTTAGTTTTGAGAGTGGTTTTATTTTGAAATGTTTGATAATTTGCTTCTATCATTAGGTCTCCGCCTGTTACAATCCTTCAGCTCTGTGCAAGCAAGTTTTCTGAGGTTTCTGCAGTATTGTCTGTGGACATTACTTCCTTCCTGACTAATCATAGCCAATGCACTCAACACACCACCACCATTAAAGAAGGTATGAATGCAAAGTTCCTCGGAAGTCCCAAGAAGGAGACCAGCAAGAAGGCAGTTAATGCTATTCAAATGCTCTTTCAAAGGGCAGAAAAAAGAAAACAAGCCCAGGCTATCGCTGGGTGTTTTGTTCCTGACGTAAATGATACGACAGTACCACCAGCTACTGAGACCAAGAGTTGTCACATCAGCAACCAAGTTTCAGAAGGCTTAATGGAACTAAGCAACCCAAACATGATGCAGAAACAGCCCTTGATAGAGCAATCTTTGCTAGAGACCGCGTTGACCGGGGAAGGTTATGTAGCATCTTTAGAAATGAAAATGCTTCCTGATTCGTTTAAAGAAGAAAACGTGCAGACTGCTCCTGGACTTTCCCAAGAAGGAGCTGTTTGTTTGGCTGATCCTTCCTCAGTAGATGACTGCTTGCTGTGTGAGAAATGTAACCAAAAAGTGGCAGTGTGGGAGTTCACCGAACACTCAGATTACCACTTTGCTGTAGAACTGCAGAATTCTTTCTCGGGGTCTAGTTCCTTCAGATCCGTTGAATCTCTTGCTACTCCAGTGAAGGAGAAAAATAAATCAAGGGAACAGAGAACCACCAGTGCCAAACGGCCAAAGCAAGATGGAAGTAGGACTCTAGATTTCTTTTTTAAACCATTGCCACCATAGTTGCTGACTTGAGTAACTGGTGACTTAGAAAATGTACTTTTCCTAATAAACTAATCCTAATAAATTATTCCTTAAAATTTAATATTTTGGGGAGTTAATGAATGGGGATAAAAATCTGTAATCAAAGGTATGCTATCTGCAGGTCCTTCTGTTACTTTATGGACAAGATGACAGTGGACCGTATGGTGATGAGATTGTGTTCTGCTAATAGTTCTGTAGTTGTCCCTTGACTCGTTTTAAAATGGAGCTCTGTAAGAATTCATTTACTCATGTTGCGTCGTGTAGAAAATTTGCTTATTTCAGAAGTCTTGTATTCAGGTAGAGGTTCTAAGATCTAGATTACAGTCAAGATTACAAGGAGTGAAAATCATAAACCTCGATATTAGACAGCACTGAACTTTGGATTTGATTTTAAGACAGGAGAAAAATCCAGATTTCCCAGATGGTGGATTTCAACTTCTATCACTCTTCCCTGCTAGCTCTGCTAGCTGGATTGATAGCATTGGGGAGTCCAGAACCTTTGGAGAACAACAGCTCAGTGTTCAATCTCTTGCGGTTTTTTTTAATTTCGTAAGAACTTTTCCATATAATTTGAATGCTTCTTTTTCTAGAGTTGTGTAAAAAGCCTGTAATATAGTTTTCTATTTTTATTTGCTTGGTTCTAAGCCTTTCTCAGTAACAAAATTGTTTCTTTTGGGAGTAGGTTTATTAATGCTCTTTAGGTCAAGCATTCTTTATAGTAAATGAAACTATCTTATGCTAAGCCATAGGCCTTACATTTCCAAAATGCTAAACCATAATGTAAGTAGGATTTTTTTTTGTGCAACATGATGCACCATCTCAAGTGAAAAAAATATTTTATTTATTTATTTGAATTTATTAACTGCCCAACTCCAATGGCCTTTATTTTTGCAAGAAACCATTCTTCAAAGCCAAATAGTAAACAACAGCCCAATGAAGAGGGCATTAAGACCGCTCCCATCAACACTGACAGGGTAAGCTACTAGTATATAAAATCAGAACAAATCCAGTCCCTACTAGCACCGATGATATTACCTACTCTGGTAATGAAACGTCTGCAAGAAAACAACAAATTCAGAGAGTACCAAAGACTCCACAGTTCAGCCCTCAGCTACAAATATTCTGTTCTATCAGTATCAAGCACCTCAGAAAACATGCAGTTGGAAGAAATTTGCATGCAGGCACATTTCCACCAAGGAAAAGCAATTCTTGCACGAATGCCCTACAACAGCATAGTGCCCACTAGTGTCAAATACAAGCTTCTAATAAACTGCACATCTGGATGTAAAATACCGCAAGGAAGTGGACGAAAAATGATATGGCTCATGAACACAGATGCACATCTCAGACTAAACAGATACCAGCACACCATGGAAAACATCAAGGAACAACTAGAACACATCATTTCAGAGCATATTGAAGGGCTGACAACCACCATCAAGACTACTTCCCAGAGACACACCAGAAAAAGGAAAATGAAATTACCAACCAAACTACTCAAACCCTCGAATCAAAGAGGCACCAGAGTCCAAATGTGTGGTCAACATGTCCAGTCGCTCACTATTTACCACAGAACACAATATTCTACAGAAAGGCCTACGCTATAACATAGAAGATGCTATAACTAGAATTCTTTGCAGTATTAGAACGAGCATTTAAACTGCAGGATTTCTCAAAGAGACTCAAAAAAGCATCAGACAAGCTATCCTACCACAGAGCAGAAGATGATGAGAACAAAACTCTGAGAACAGAGCAGCCCTCAAACCACAATTATCCTGGACAAATCACAATATAGACAAAAAGCAAAAGTATTATAGAAGACAAAGTTACATCCCAGCGAACATTAGTCCAATACAAAAACTAGATAACTGGATCAAGAGAACTCTCAGCTACTTCACCATAAAAGGTCAAATCGCCAAAGAAGATCAGTGGCAAATAAAAAGTAGTAGACCCATCCTCCCATGCTTCTATGGATGCCCCAAAACACATAAGCCAGACATACCTCTCCACCCAATTCCATCATTACCAGGGACCTCAACCTACAACATCACCAAAGATTTGACAAAAAAGCTTGGACCTTTCACAAAGGGAAGCAAAAGTACGCATCTGCAGTGCCTCCAAAGAATTGAAGATATGACAATAGATGAAGATGAAATCATGGTTTTATTTGATGTCACAGCACTTTTTACATCCATAGACCCAGAATTGGCCAGAATTCTAGCCTCACTACACAGCACATCTGACCTAACAAAATACATCAAGACTGAGATATGCAGGACCATGGATTTTATCAACCTTTGCCTAGCCACAAACTGACAAATATATTAACATGTTATATATATTACAGTTTGGTAATGAAATCTACAAGAAAACAACTAGGCTCAGAAAGCACCAAGGACCCCACAGTTCAACCCTGAGCTACACATATTCTCTTCTATAATTACTCTTTTTAGTTATGAAAAGATTGCATAATGGGATATCATAATTTGCTACTGAATAAATAGTCTCATTATTTGGATCCAATCATTTGGAAGAAGCTATTTATAGCTTTTGCAGAATTTATTTTGATAACAGTTTAGAATACCTCTTGGCATTGAATGCAAGTTTTTGTTATATGGTTTATTTGGATCTGGATCTGTTACAGGTTTTGAAGGCATTCAGAAGAACTATAGGAATCATCTGTGGCTCCTAAACCAGTTATCCTTCTTTATAAGAAGTTGAAGGAAATTGATGAAGTTGATATTATTTACATGACCTTTGGAACTGCATAGTTAAATATCCTTATAACCCAGTGGAGAATTGCATTAAACATATAATTAAGTTCCTATAATCTTAAAATGAATATAGTACATTTAAATTTGCTTTATTTCTGCTAGATTAGAGGTTCCCAATCCCTGGTCCGTGGACTGATACCGGGCCGCACAAACAAGCAAAGTCCCATCTGTGGGATGCAGGTAGCACACAAAACCACGCCGCCTCTGGTCCATGGAAAAACCTTTCTCCATGGAACCGGTCCCTGGTGCCCAAAAGGTTGGGGACCTCAGTACTAGATGCCTCAAATAAAATTTAGTGAGGATTGGTTACAGTGTTCCTGCTGGTGGAGATGTAATTTAGGAATTGAAGCATTTTCCCGTATGATTTGCTCTTATCCTATTGTTTGTATTACAACTTTGGATTAATCATATTATGTTAAATTCACATATATTCTTCTTTGGCATATTCCAGTATTTGGAACCTAGCAAAAATTGTGAAAATTTTGGACATGAGAGTTGTTCGTTAAATGAATTTAGAGTAAGGAGAAATCTTTACCTGCCTTGCAAAAATGGATTGCTATATTTGAATTAATATTTTTTAAAAAGAGGGCAAAGAACAATGTCAAGCAATATTCTCAAAATTTCTTGAATTCTGTTTATGACATAATTTTCTGATCTTTTTGTGTATTACTTTATTACTCATTATGACTATGCTTATGAATTTTAGAATACATTGATCTTTTAATGTTGAATATGCATGTTTCTTTTTTGTTGTTGTTGATTAGTTTAGCAAAATAAAGTTATCAAAATAGCCTAAGATTTAAGTAACACATTTTTGTGTAATTTCCAAGAAAAAAACAAATGGAAATCTATAGCACTGTTCACATAACAAAATTAAGTTATATATGATTGGGTGTAAATGTAGAAAATATTTTCAAGAGATTATCCTTGTACCCAATGGTCTTTAGCAACCATTGACTAGTTTCTAATCTTCCATAGTTGGCTTGCAGCTCAAAAGAACCCTGGAAGAAGTGGATTGTTTATACCCATTTCAGTCTGTTTCCAAGATGGCGTTCATTGATCCCAAAAACGGAACCTGCAATTATGGGAATAACGCTAGGAAGATGATGATGATGATGATGCCACTCTTGTTTGCCAGGACAACCTTAATTACACTTTTTGATCATCTGGCCAAGCTGGGATGGAGGTGATGGCATCCAACCTTGTGCCCCTCAAATCTCTTGGTGGCTTTCCATACCACGCTGTTAGCTATGTCCTGAGCTGGCTCCATGGGCTAGGGGTTGGAGACATCATTTTTTTTAGTGGTTCTCCTTCCTCTGAGTCTGTTGGTATGGTTGTGCGGGGAAGATTGCTCCCAAAACCCTCCTGTGTGGGGTTCTTCAGGGTTCTACTGTCTCTTCCCTTTTAACATTTATATGAAACTGCTGGGTGAAGTTGTCTGCTAGCTTGGGGTTTGGTATCAATAGTATGTTAATAATACCAGATTATGTCTTTGGAACTTGGCTGGTCAAGTGACTTTATAGAGGTTCTGTCTTGGAGATTGTGCAGGTTTGAAGAGAAACCATCTTGACTCAATCCTATGAAAACTGAGTGGCTATGAGCATTTGGATTCTCCAGATTGGGGAGTACTCCATCTTTGACCTTATATAGTTGCACTTCCTGACTCAAGGATTGTGCACAGTCTTGGGGAGGGGGTGTTCCTGAATCACAACCCCTACTTGGAGAGCAGGTGGCAGCTGTGGTCCTGAAAGTCACAGCACAATTTCATCTGATGTGCCAGCTGGGCCCTTAGTAACCGGTGGGCTATTAAAACAGTCACTTATGCACTTGTTACCTCATGGTTCAGCTACTGCCATGGAGTCTACATGGGGCTGCCTTTGAAGATCAGCTGGAAGTACTCCAGAATGCAATGACACAGACATTGGCAGGCATACCTTAATATGCCCATGTATCACCTGTGCTTAAAAAGCTGCACTGGTTGCCAATTTGCTTCCAGAAACAATTCAGATTTCTGTTATTTATAAAGTTTACATAGCATAAAGCCTGGTTACTTGACCACCCGACTCCTATAACATCTATCTAGCTGATTTGAAACTATAGCAATGACACATCCAGTTCCCTTTGATAATATTGGGATCCCTGAAACTTGCTGTCTCTGTAGCAATACCTGGTTTCTGGAATGGGATCTCCTCCACCTTGAGATCCAGGCTGTTGTTTAAAAGGGCTAGAAGACCTGGCTCTTTGCTCAGGACTTTGGCCAGCGAAAGTGAAGGCATTTGTCTTTTTTTTTTTTTAAAATTTTGTATTGGTTATTATATTTTTCTTGTTTTAGTTATTGTGAGCCACCCAGAGTCTGTGTGTGTGTGTATTGTAAGTGAAGTTTTTAAATTGGAATTATATACTGCTTTGTAATACTGCTTCATTCTGTTGTAATTAAGAATAACAGGAACTAACCCAGTGTAGCTGATGTTACGCAACCATTGCAGCACCAACAAACGGGTTAAATAAAAATTCCTCTCACAATTAGAAATGTCAGTTATTAGAATAAAGAAACAAGATATATGATTAATGATATACTAGTCCAGTATTTATAAACTGGTCTTGAACTTTATTAGTCAAAGAATTTTTGCTTTTGTAAGTGACCTCAAGTATCACTAAATATAGTGTACTATTTATTCAAGGCATTGAAGCTATATCCCAAACTGTCAATATAAAATGCTTAGCACAATACTGTATTTGGTAATGCCAGATAAGCATATACTAGCTTGCAAACATGACTGTACAAACATCTGAAACTAACAAAGTCAGGGCAGGATAAGAACACTTTTTTTCAGAGCTAAAACTATTAAGGGACAGAGCAAATTACACTGCTCATTTAGAACAAACCACAGCTTTGTTTTCTCAATAAAGCATCTTTATTTTGTGCACTATACAGAGAGAGGAAAACATACCTCTCCTTTTAAGAAATCACAAACAGTGAATATGAAAGGCTTGGCACTGAGAACACACATAATAAAGGCAAGGGAATGGAGGAGACCAGGAAACGCCTGGACCTGAGGGTAGAAAAAGCACCTTGAATGTTTACATTTGCAATGGGTCAACTTAACCATCACTGTAAACTGCAGAGAAAGCATAAATTCCTACCACAGGACAAAGTCTCTCAGAAGATATCTAGAAAGCCAGTTTTTCAAAATGTTTGTATGTAATTAAGGGGAACTTCAAAAGAAAAACTGCTTGTCAACAAATAGCCATGATACTTAGCAACTTGTTTATTGGACTTTTGGGAGGATTTTCTTTTATCCAGGGAGATGAGTAAAGGCTTTTCTTAAAAGGCTATATTAAATAAAAACTATATATGCAAACTTAATAGTAACATGTTATATCTCAGGAGCAGTTGCTCTGAATAATCTAATCTCTGTACAACAGAGATGAAACGGCAGAATGGGGAATCATGTGGAAGGATAAAAAATTGTATGTTTTACTGGCCATGTTAGCTCGTTTATTCGAGTCTTTGATGTAACGGTGGTTAAAACATACAATAAAAATAACATCACAAACTTTAAAAATCTTAATAAAAAGTGAAGATATCTTTCAGTGTCTGAGACCATTCTATCTGATGGCCAATTCAGAAATTCAGCTGTACTTTCAATCTGTCATAGATGTAATCTTAGGTATAACGGTGATTTTCTGCAAAAGATACTAATAATACAAATTATACCAGATGGCAAAGCTGAATAAGAGAATTAGAATTGCAGTAGCATTCCCAATACTATGACAGCTAGAACAGCCTTTACTGGCATGACCATTGGAAATAAAGACTCTTGCCCCAAGAAATAGGCTGGACCTGGATTTCCATATCTCAGAAAAGTCAAGGACATTGAAAGATACAGCAGTCAAAATTGCCAGCCACGACTCACTCCGAGAAGCAAGCAACATAGGATCTGATGGTACAGTGGGGCACCTTGCTCTAAGACAGTGTTTCCCAAACTTGACAATTTTAAGGCATGTGGACTTCAACTCCCAGAATTCCACAGCCAGCGTTGAAGTTGAAGTCCTCATGCCTTAAAATTGTCAAGTTTGGGAAACACTGCTCTAAGAAGTTGCTTAGACGGGGCACCTGCTGAGGAACAAGTGGCTAACAAAGTGGCAGGGAAATCTGACAGCATTGAGAGTTGAGCTGTCATATCATATCGGGGCTATTTTAGAGCAGAGGATGGGCAACATGCGTCCCACACGTAGCTTTCCATTGCATCCCTAGCTCATGCTGGTGAAATTTGGTAGCAGAACCACTGATTTTCAGTGACATGTTTTTTAAAAAAAATTGGGATGAGTATTGCTGCATAAGGCCTCATAGAAATTATATGTATCCATTTACATAAAAGCCTCCACCACCACCCCCTCCCAAGTTTAGGCAGAACATTTCAACCCATCTACCCTGGCAATGTCACTGCATCACCTGCTATGGATTCTGCAGCTGTAGGAGTGTCCGTTTAAAAAACAACAACACTTCATGAAATTGTTACCTACCCCTGCATTAGAGGGATTTCTTCCTCCCATATTCCCCCCCCCTCCCTTTTTTAGGCTGGTAAAGATTTGCACACGAAGGTGGAGGGAGAAGAGAGGTTATTCATTACTGGATTAATGTGAAACCAACAATAATTTAAAATAATTAGAAACATCCTGAACCGTACTGTGGGCTCTAGTTCCTAATAATAATAATTCATCTGCCATAGAAAGCCTGCAAAACCAGGCACTAGGACAACACTAATGCCCTTCTGAATACAAACGAGTCCATCATTGTTGTCTCCCAGGTGGCAGCATCCCAAAATTACAGTCCAACTGACTATGGATTTGCCTCTCTCTGGAAATAACTTCCCCACAATGGTCAACAAAAGCAGGAGTTCCAACCTAGTCAAAAATGCAGCTGTTTGCTTGTCTATTCCAGAAAAAGCAGGAATAAGGAAGTAGCAGGTGATGCACAAACAACAAGCTTAACTTGCTCCAGGGAGGGCACTCAGTCCAAGAGGTAACTCTGGCTTCTGTAGTGCAGAAATTGATTAGCCAACAATGGCTCTGCGCAATGGCACGAAATCTTTCCCTTATTTGGAGCACTGAGAAATACTGGTGTGACTCAGAAGCTGACTGGATCAGGACACAGATTGTGTTCCAGGCCACTTTCTCCAGTGGTGATAGCCTGAATGGATGTGACATGTCCAATACCTTTGGTAACTCCTTCACGAAACAATAGTTTGGCTCCTATCTTCAAATATTCAGGATGCTTAATGAATCTGAAACGAACCACTGCCTTTTCTCCTGTTCGCAGTTTGTCCTGAACAAAAAGGAAAGTATATTAGAATTTTAAAAGTTCAATTACTTATCTTAGGGATTCCAGAAAACCATGGAAAGCAACTTAGCATACCCTCGGGTTTCTGAAGTTTGCAGTGGATTTAGCTGCGAAAAAATCCCTTTTGATAATAACAAGAAGAATCCCCCTTTATTTTGTAATACTCAAGGTTGCATATCTACTGTTCCCAACTTACATTTTCCACAAAATAGCCACTCCATAGGGTGGTTGCATTGAGAGAAAGTGACTGATCCAAAATCAGTTTTCATACCTAAGGAAGGATTAGAACTCAGGATTTCCTGGTTTCTAGTTCAACAAGGAGTACCTCAAGGGTAAGGCCTAAAGCGATTGTGACACAAGCGAGAAGACAATCAAGCAAATTCCCTTTCAGCAAGAAAAGGAAAACTTACCTTCCCGTGGATTTTTTCCACAATTGCTGTTTGCCGTACATTTCCAACATGCGCTGTTACTTGGAATCCTTTCCGGAAAGTTGTGGCATGGAACAGTAGAACAATTTCAGCTTCAAATACTGAACAAATAGTTGGGTTCATCTCTGGGCTGACCATCACCATGCCCTAAATGACAGCAAGATTGGGTAACTGAATTTTCTTGACAATGGTACTCAACTCTTCCAAACTGAAGCACAATAGATTACAATCTTTCCATAAAGAAATCCTCATTTATTGCCCCGAAAGCCAAAGAAAGAAGGAGGAGATAAGAATGTGTATACAAGATGATGGGCAGGGATGAGTGGGAAAGATCTAACAGCTGACTGCTTAGCGTTCAGTCTAATTATTTCTTTGTCCTTTTGAAACTCAAGGCAATCACCTTAATGCTATAGTTTCCAGTTTCCCCATCTCTTGAACTTAAATTTTATGGCATAAACTCAGAAGAGTTTATTATCTATAGAATTTTGGAATATCTTCAAAAGCAGACGGTCCAGAGGAACCCAGCCTGCTATATTTCCCAATATCCATAAGGCAGGACACTTTGTTTTCAGAAAAGTTACAGAGGAGAAGGTTTTTATAGCTAAAGACTCCAGAGAGAGATTAAGAAAGCGCTTACTTTGCGCAGCAGTGAGCGATCAAAGAGTCCAAGAGCTAGGGTAGCGGCCTGCCCAGCTCGAAGAACGCGACATGCTGAACGATTTCGTTGGATACTGCATACTTTCAGATGAAGGAACTTGCCATCATCTGTTGGACCAACAACCAAATTCTCTCCTTCTTTGCATATCCCACTAGCAAGGGCATAAAATGAAAATACTGTATTTAGCTCCCAGGAGGCAGGAAAAGCCTTCCTTTGTGTCTAATTGAGATAACCTTGAAGCAGTTTTTTTACTCTTGAAACAAGAAAAATATCAAAGAGAAAATTTGGATCTGATATTCCAAAGAATAAATATATATGTTATGTGCTCAAAGAACACAGGAATCCTTTAGGGAATACTTTTACTTTTTTACTGGAGTGCAATTTTATCTTCCTTGACTCATTCAGTTAAGAAAGAAAGAAAAGGAGAATAAATGCTACTTCCTGGTCCTTCCTACCCATCCTGGTTTTTCCTTACAAATTCCATAAGTACCAACCTTGACAGTGTTCCTCCAACAACTGTGCCTACATCTGGCACAGTGTAAATTTCATCCACCTATAGCAGAGAAAGAATGGAAGTTTCAAATATGTTGTGCAGGACTGTAGTATTTCAAAGCCAGAGTTAAACAGTTTGACCTTTTATTCTCAGACATAACAATACAAGTTCTTGTATAGGAATTCTAAGCCTATCCTTTAATATTGTCTTCCTTATACCCGTTACAAGCCTCAAGCATCCCAGTTCTCAGTGAACCAATTATATTCTGCAAACATTTCCTAGGTGCAACTCCTAAAAGAAATAACCTGGGAATCAATTCAATGATTGGTAGGACATTAACAATGAGATTAGATGAAGAATGGTATAGACCAGTGGTTCTCAACCTTTTTAATGCCGTGACCCCCAACCGGTCGTAAGTCGAGGACTACTCAACCGGTCGTAAGTCGAGGACTACTCAACTGGTGCAGCACCGTTTGCAGAATGGGACTTTTGGCGGGCTCAGCAGGGCAGAGACAGCCTGGACAATTCCTATTGGCTTTTGAAAGCCAATAGAATTAGACTCTATTCAAGAGAGTCTATTCTATTGGCTTTCAAAAGCCAATAGAATAAAAGGGAGTAGCACAGCTAAGGAAAAGGGGGGAAAAAATGGCGGACTGCGTTGTTTGGCGACCCCCGTGAAATGGTCATTTGACCCCAAATGGGTCCCGACCCACAGGTTGAGAACCACTGGTATAGACAAATAAAGGAGGAGGAGTCGTGGTGGCACAGTGGTTAGAATGCAGTATTGCAGGCCAACTCTGCTCACTGCCAGGAGTTCGATCCTTACCATCTCAGCCTTCTAAGGTAGGTAAAATGAGACTCAGATTGTTGAGGGGAAATATGCTGACATTGTAAACCTCTGAGAGTGTGCTGTAAAGCACAATGAAGCACTCTTATAAGTCTAAACTCTATTGCTATTGCTAAATAATAAATAGCATTAATCTGTCTTCGAATAAGAAAGTAATTATAATTGTTTGGTTTTATCATTTCTCTAAATCCAAGGATCAGAGAACACCCTGCCTTCACATACTACAGCTGGAGACTCTCAACTGAGAAGAGACTATTGTGTACCTGGAATTCAGTGAGCTGTTGCATCAGCTCTTCCTGTTCTTTGCTGTTTGTCAGAGGAGGAAGGATGTTGAGAAATACTCTCAGGAGATCCAGGTTCTCTCCAGAAACACTGGACAAGGTGAAGATGGGAGTGATACTGCAAACAAATGAGTGAAAGAAGCTGGTGATCCACGATATTGTGCATCGCTATTAGTACTGAATACAATAGGAATGAGATTGGCTTCCACATGTGTAAGTGGAATGTAAATAATTAGGGAACAACAATATCTGTATCCTATATTTTTTTTACAGAATCAAAACTTGGTACAGGTAGTCCTTAACTTACAACTGGGTACTTAATGACCAGTTAAGATGGACTTCAAAAAAGTTAATTGCTATCTGTCCTCAAAGTTATAACAGCAACACCACCCGTCATCACATGCATGCTCGCATTTCAGGTGTTTGGCAGCTGGTCTGCATTTTTGACTGACTGAAGGATCCTGAATTTTACAATCTTTTTTAGCATTTTCCAGCAAACCTACCCATTGGATAAGCTGGATTCAGATTTACGACCATGTAACTCATTTAACAACCATCGTAAAAATGTCAGGTAGTGACTCAACGTATTGTGATCATTAAGTCGAGGATTACTTGTATGCCCATATGCAAAGTAGTGCAGATGGTTAAAGGCATCCGAAGAATCCAATGTTTTCCCCAAAACAATGAAAAAGATCTTGAGTCTACATGACAGAAGTTCCTTTTCTTTCATACTTGGGTACAATATCACAATATAAAGGGGAGCTTGCATCACAATGGCAGAACACCCATTTCATCATCTGCTCTCCTCCAGTTCCCTAAGTCACTTCTGCCACAATTCATTTATTATGTGTAAGCTATCCTGCAATATAAAAATTATCACAAATAGTAAATACTATAAAATCAAAACAGTCCATTCAAAACAGAGAGTGGAGACATGAAACAAAAGAATATGGTCACTTAAACTTCACTTATTGCTCTTTGATACGGACCACTGCTAGTTCCACCAACCTGAGTTACTCACACCTTTCTTGCATCATTTTGAAAGTATGTTACTTTTAAACTGCATCCATCCATACTTGCTAATCATCTGCCCTCCCATTCAAACAGCCCATAATTCATACTTGGGAGATTGTGCAAACTGCTGTGCTGCTGTAACTGCATCATCATCAGACATTACTAGCAATGGAAGTTTGTTGCAGCCAGGCTGCTTCAGAATCCGTTCCAGCTGTTTCACTGTTCGCTCCACAGTGGCCTTTGAGCACAAGTCCACTTTGCTAATGACAATGAAGAAAGGCACCTTAAGGGCCATTGCCAAGCCTAGGTGCTCCCGTGTTGTACCAGCTGTAAGAAGTAGAAGATAGAGAAAATCAAATTAAAAAGGTAGGACATCAGTGCAGCTAAAACATATAATTCAATGCCATTTGTTTGAAACCAATAAAGTGTTTCTATGTTACTGTGGATGAATCTTGTTTTAAACTACTGGTACCGACTGGTTAACTGTTACATGCATTATGTCAAACCTTCTGAAACCCCAAGGAGAAATCCAACCAACCACTTACCAATTCCAGTATTGGCACTCACCACCAGCATAGCGAAATCTGGACAATAGCTTGTAAGCCCAAAAATGGTGGTTTTCAAATATTTGTGATGTCCAGCTAAGTCAATGAAGGTAATCATTTTGGAAGAGCTCTCACAGATTTCTTCAGCTGTGCGTGAATCACTATAGTTCACCACCTAAGAGGCAGAAAATGCAGGTAATTGAGCTCTTATAAAAGGCCAAGTAAAAATTCATATCCAGAGATATAAAATGATAAACTCGACGTACAAATACTCGTACCTCTCCCTTACTGTTGAAACCAAGAATTTCAAAGCTAATGCTAGATGTTCTTCCTGACTGGATCTCATGCAAGTGTCGGAAGAGATTGAGACGCGCTCGGCCTCGCCCATTATCCAGTTCCCCTTGTGTCAAGACACCTAATAAAGTTGATTTGCCTGAATCCACATTTCCAAGCACAGCCACACGCAGATCTAGAAACTTAAGGAAAATTGAGGATCTATTTTAAATTGTTAGAAAGATGAACAAGTTAGGCTTGACTACCTTGCATATTAATGTCTTAGGATACCCAATTCACAAACAAAGTTTGTATAATTCTGAGGTATTTACAACAACAAACTAATTCCCAAGCATTTGGCATTTACTACTTTGCATTGTAAAATATGCACAAGATAAGAAACTGGGTTTCAAAGTTTAACTATCTCAGCTTTCGCAGACGACTTGGTGGTTACTTTGTCTCAACCTACCTATTCTGTAGTAAATTTATTACAACTGATTTATCAATATGGACGGGTTTCGGGTTTTAAAATTAATAACAATAAGACTAAAATATTATCTAAAAATATGATTAATTTGGACAAGCAGATTTTGGTTAATCTGACAGACTTTGAAGTTGTTGATAAGATAAAATATTTGGGGGTTACCTTATCTGTTTCTAATGGAAAATTGTATAAAAACAATTATGAAAGGCTGTGGGTCAGGGTACAAAAAGATTTGAAAAATTGGGAGAAGTTACAGTTATCTCTTATGGGAAGAATTGCAGTGATTAAAATGAATGTCCTGCCAAAGTTTCTCTTTTTATTTCAAATGTTACCTATTTTAAAAAATGAGGTTAATTTAAATGAATGGCAGAAAGGTATTAACAAATTTATTTGGGCAGGGAAAAAACCAAGGGTAAAGCTTAAAATTATGCAAGACTTCCGTGAGAGAGGTGGACTCAAGGTACCGAATTTGAAATTATATTATGATGCTGTGGCTTTAACATTAATTAGTGATTGGGTTAATTTAACAAATGTAGAAATACTCCATTTGGAGGGTTGGGATTTACTTTTTGGATGGCATGCCTATCTAATTTTTAATAAAAAAGTGGACCGGGTTTTTAAATCTCATATTATAAGGATTTCTTTACTCCGGGTTTGGAGGAAATATTATAAAAGTGATTTTAAAATACCATTATGGGCTATACCTTGGCATGCGATAGAGGGGATAAGGAGAGGAGTTAAGATGGATAGGGTTTCTTATACACAACTACTTAGATGGGATGGTCAAAATTGGCAGTTAAAATCTTTGGAAGATTTAGCATATGAAAATATCACCTACTCATGGTTTCAGTATAGACAAATAGTGGATAGATGGAAGATGGATCGTAATATGGGCTTGCTTAGAGAAGATGAAAACCTTGTTAAACAAGTAAAAGATCAAAGGCGAACCCATATTAGGAGAATCTATGGGGTTCTAGTAGAACTGGATTCAGAATCAGAACTAATTAAAGATTGTATGATTAAATGGGCACAAAATTTTGATGAACCAGTTCTACTAGATACCTGGGAAACTATTTGGGTGAGGAATGTTAAATTTACACAAGCCCAGAACTTAAGGGAGAATTTTTATAAAATGTTTTATAGATGGCACCTTGATCCAAAAAAAATGTCTCTTATGTATCCTGACTTACAGCCTAAATGTTGGAGATGTGGTTGTTTGGATGCTACTTATTATCATATTTGGTGGTCGTGTAAAAACATAAAAGCCTTTTGGATCAAGATATGGTGGAATATTCAAAGAATTTTTAGAAAGAGGGTAAAATTTACCCCACAATTGTTTTTGTTAGGTATCGTTACTGATTGTGATGCTAAGGAAGTTATATTGATGTTAAATTTGATTACAGCCGCAAGGCTGCTAGTAGGGCAATATTGGAAGAAGGAATCCTTGCCTACCTTACAAGAGTGGTTTTTTAAAGTTTCTTATTTGGCGGAAATGGCAAAGATTTCGACTTTCTTAAAGGAGCAATCGCAAGAGAAATTCTTTGCGGTATGGGAAAAATGGATAAATTTTATACAATATAAATTGGATATAAAAATATCATTTAGCTTTTCAATAACTTGTATATAAATTTTAATATTTTATAGATTGTATTTTTATATATATATATATATCTTTTCTTCTTTCTTTTTTGTTATTATCTCTTTTTCTTTTCAGTACTTTTTCTTTTTAACACTTATGGTTTTTTTACATATATTTTATTGTTAATTACTTTATAAGTTGTTTATGTAAGGTATTTAGATATATTTATGATTTATACTTTTTCAATTTTTTAAAGATTTTTAAAATTTTTAATTAAGCCTATACTCAGCTCTGGGAAGATCAGGGGGGATGGAGAGGGAGGGTTGGGGTGGGTGGGTTAGGGTTGTTTTTTTTTTTGTTTTTTGCTTTTTGTAAAAATTTTTAAAAAAATTTTCAATTAAAAAAAAAAGTTTAACTATCCCTAGCAAATCATTCTTATCAATTACAGATCTTCAAACTCTAAATGAATATAGCAATCTAGAATGAAATATCTTCAGCTTTTCTCTCATGATGTTTAAATCAGGTTGATTTTTACCTGTTGGTTATCTGGGACCTTTCGGACAAGAACCTCTGTTATCTTCCTGGGAATGTCACTGTCATAATCCACTTCTCGTTCTCGAAGCACAGTGATGTCAGCTCCCACTCTGCAAAGGGCAAAACAGAACACTGTTGGGGGTTAGAGAAACATCTGCAAAGCATTCCCCAGGAGGACAAATATCTGGTTACCTTAGAATGCTGCTCAGAAAAGCATCTCACAATTAAGCAATGGTAAGTAAAATGTGTCTATTTTCTAAATGAGCTGATTTTTATTCATATGAATATGCATCCTTGTCAATTTTGGGAGGCTCCACTCCCCTGAAATATTTTTGCATAGATGTCAAACGAGTTTCCTCATTTTAAGATCTGTAATAAATTGGCTTTATCTAGATCACCACATATGACAAATTTTCCACTAATTACATGTTGCTCATAGCAGTACAGAGAGATAAAACTTTACCTAAATGAGGCTGAAGCTGGAGGGGGGAGGGAATGACAGCTATAGTAAAGCTACATAGCTCTCATTAGTACTAAATCTAATTAAGGTAAATGCTAATTGTATTTCCACTGCCAAATGAATGAATGGACACACTCCAGCCCTAACCCTCCCTTTTTGACACCCAGCACATGGTCATGATTGTTGATCACATGACTTCCTGCCATCTTGAGAGGACAAACTCATGAACTACAGAGACAGTTGCCTACAATAGATAGTGTCAAGAAATTGCCAAACTCTGCCCTGCCTATATATCTATAGTGACCCTGTTCATTTACAGCACCCCTCCCAATGGTAGGATTCAGCCAGTTCACACCAGTTTGGCAGAACCAGTAGCTAATTTTTTGTTGCCCAGGACAGACTTCCGGAAGCGGTATCCACACAGAGAACCAGTTGTTCACATATTTGAATCCCACCACTGACCCTTCCCCTCCTCCCAAATATGACTTATTATGGCCTTTGCCCATCAAAAGGTTGCCCAATCCCAGTTGAGTGTAATGGCCCATAATAAAATACGCATAGCCACACACAAATGTTTTACAACTGAAACAATTAGTAGGTACTGTACCCATGTGGTGGTACTGTGAGAAAAATCTCTTGCTGAAACCATTTCCTCTGTTGGCTATTAGCTGAATTTCCAACATTAAGTCTACCTTAGAAGAGCAAAATAAGAGAGCACACCATTGGCTAACTCTGGTCAAGAAGCAGGACAGATGCACATACTTCTCGGCCATCCGCCGTAGCGTTTTAAGAGAGGCGTGCATTTCTTCTTCAGACAGTCCAACAAGCAGCCCATTGTCCTCGACACCAATCTGGTACACAGCCTCACCACGGCCTTCTTGTAGTCGCCACTTCATTTGCGTTACTAGATGTTCAAAGCGGTATTGAGACGGATTAACTAACTTCAGCTGTCCAAAGAAAGAAGTAATTATAATCAGCAATTAAGGTGGTCTGATGGGGCTGAACATTTTTTTCAGTATTTTCTCCACAATATTGAACAAAGAAAGTTCAGTGGCGAAGAAGACTAATAATTTTTCAAAGGCACTCTAAAATAATTGAATAAAAAGTTCCTTTTTGTATAAATTTAAGAATGTATACAGGGTTCAGTATTCAAATGTGAAATAGCCAACATATCTATAAATAATGTTTTGGCAAAAATCATTTTTATTTTTCTGTTATTTATCTTTCTCTCTCTTCCTAGACATGGAACTTACAGAATTATTTGGCTTAGAACTCTTAAATGGCTTGCATGAGAGACTCACCTTGTATTCTATGTTCCCATCTTCTGCCTACATACAAGAAGAAGAGATCTTAAATTAATGGCTAATGCAGTGTTCAAAATTTCATATACAAAACCAGACATCTCTTTTGACAACTAAATATAGTTGCCAGAGACCAATGACAGAGCCAGTTTAAATTATAGTACTGGTAATTAAATCAAGTCACTTAACACTGTGGTTCTTTCATCTTTATACAAATGATGAAGTTGCACTGAATTTATTTATTCAATTCAAACATAATTAACAAAATATTTAATCTTAAAAAATGCAAAAATACAAAATACAAACTAAGAAAGAAAAGAAAAATATAAAATCTATAAGAAGATATTTACATTTTATACATATCCGTTGTTACTGGTGTACTATTGAATTCATTACTATATGACCAATACAAAATATTATTCAAAGACATCACAAAATCTCTGCCATAGTATCACATATTGCATCCTTTGATTATTAGAAAATACTGTTTCAAAAACATATAAATCATACATTACTGAAAACTATTCTTTGATATCCAGAATAATATCACTTTTTCAATTTCTCCATATAATTCCCCTTAGCCACTCCCAGGCATGAAAATTATTATGTATCATTCAGTACAGTTCAAAGTACCATTTGTTTTACCTGCACCTAAAGCAATTTATGGACTAACATAAATGCCACAAAAATTCAACAAGGATCTTAATAAAATGTTTCTATCAACTGTAATAAATCAAACCATGCAGAAAGCTTCAGATACCATTATCTCATAAATGAATGATAGGCAAGTTTTAAATAGACACCTGACTCTCACTCTGTCTTCATGAATCTCTTCCAAAGGTTCAATTTTCAAATATCTTTTGGTGTCCTGTTCTGACATCATTCACTAGACATTTTCTTTGGAAATAAATACCATAACTGACATGCAATACAGCTTGTACACTGGTTTTGTTGAATATTGGTTTTTATATCTTTTCTGTGGATTATGTTATTTTTTATATGCTCCTATAAGTTTTTATATATCTTAATACTGTATTTTTTGCTTTTTGTATTGCTTTTAATTGTTGTAAGCCACCCTGAGTTCACGCATTTCAGATGGGCAACTAAATAAATAAAACTAATTTGTTTCAGGCATTAAACACAAATTAACAAGTGTCACTAAAAAGTTTGGATTGGTAATTGATGTTTTATTAAATATTACTGAAGAATATCATAAACAGGAAAATTGTAGAACTGACGAGAGATCAACAATTCTACACTCTGTTCATCAACAATCACATTTTTGCACTAACATACTTTATTTGGCCCTGACCCAAAGGTGTTCTGCTATACACTGTCAAACAACTCTAGCAAATAACTAATGTTCCTTATGACCTGAGCTTAATGTTAAGTGAGAAAGTAATAGTCAATGTGAACTATGTCATGGCAGATCTAAGGAACAATAGTTCCTCTGAACTTCCTTAACAAGTTATGCTGATATTTTTCCAGAAGCTATTTCTATCTGGTTGTTAATAGTGAGCAGGTAAGATTACTCATAAAACTCATAGTAAGAAAGACTATAATCTTTCTCTAAAAACAGGTATGGGACATTGATTCATATCCTGCTGGTCTTGAATCAGGAGAGGGAATTTAGGAATTTAAAGGGAACCATTGTAAATCAGATCAACAATAACATAAAATGTATCTACTCTAATTTAATTTCTTCCTAAAATAATTAACTATTTTAGATCCAGCATCATTCTCTCTCAAGCAAACTTTCCTTCCTATATCTTAAGTTCTTTACATGGAAAGAACTACTGTTTTCAAGCTCAGTCTAACTATGGTGTAAAAATAGCAAAGAATATCCTGCAATTAGACCAGCGGTTCTCAACCTGTGGGTCGTGACCCCATTTGGGGTCGAACGACCCTTTCACGGGGGTCGCCAAACAACGCAGTCCGCCATTTTTCCCCCCTTTTCCTTAGCTGTGCTACTTCCTTTTATTTTATTGGCTTTTGAAAGCCAATAGAATAGACTCTCTTGAATAGAGTCTAATTCTATTGGCTTTCAAAAGCCAATAGGAATTGTCCAGGCTGTCTCTGCCCTGCTGAGCCCGCCAAAAGTTCCATTCTGCAAACGGTGCTGCAAGTTGTCTGCAGCGAAGGCGAGCTGTCTGGAAGTTTCCACCCCTCCCTGCTGAGCAACTACTAAAAATGTAAGTAAAAGAGGGCCAGGGGTGGGAGGTGGGAGGCCAGTGGGCGCAGGGAGGGTTGCTGGTGCGCGTGGGGCCCGGCGGGTGCCTTACCTCCCTTGGGCTGGGCCAGCTGGTGGCCCAGCCGGTGGTCGCCCTGCACCATCGCTGCCCCTTGCCAGCTACGCCTCGGCTGGCGCAGAGGGTGGCACCACGCATGCCTGGTGCTCCCGGGCAGAGAAAGTCCTCGACTTACGACCGGTTGGGTAGTCCCCGACTTAAGACCAGTTGGGGGTCACGGCATTAAAAAGGTTGAGAACCACTGAATTAGAGCTCCCACTTTGGAGATTAGACTAAATACACAATTTATTTACATAGCAGAGTTTATTAATATGGCATTGTTCTGCAATGTATATAAACACAGACACATCCAAATTCATGGAAGAAATTATGCCTATAATACACATTAGCAGTTTTGAAGGAGCACTAATTATCCACTGGGTTGCTGTGGAAGTGAGGAAGGAGAAACAGGTTTGGGCATGCCCCAGCAATACTTCATGCTGTTAACTGAGGACAGAAAAATAGTACTGCAACACTGAAAACTTAGGGGACAGTGTAAAGAATAATTCTTATCTTGTACTGGAAGAACTCAGTGTTGTAAAATATGAAGCAAAAAATGTGAATAAAAGTAGTTATTTTCATGTCTTAGATCACATCGAAAGTAAAAAACTGATATAATTACTGGCAAATCACCAAGAGAAACAGGAATAAAAAGTGAAATCACACTGCACATTCACATAAACTTTATATAAATAACAAAAAGTAGGCTTAGCAGGATGGGCCTAGGATTATATTGAGTTTATTCATCCTTTCATTAAATTCCATTTTCTACTTTCATATACTAATGCCAAGTTTGCTAATTTGACTTTTTATATGGCCAACTACCAAAGTGTGCCAAATTTTTACAGTATTTTTTTTAAAAAGGCTACTTAAATTTAAAAATTAAAAGCATCCTCATTTAAGACCCTGTTCAGAATATGTTTCAAGATCTTTAAAACCTGGGAAAGAGTCTTCTGTTCAATTTGATAGTCCCAATTTGCCACCAAATGAGTCAAGGAAAACAATAGGTAAATAATTGCAAATTATCTCAATGAAAGAAGTATTACCAGTACTTTTTATCTTACTCAGAAACGTATTCTGAGATCTTAAATTTGTCTGTATCATACAAAATTAGATTGCAGGGAACCACAACACTTATAACTTTTCTAGACATTCATATGCATGTCCTTTATAAACAAATTCAGAAAATCATCTCCATACTGGTTACCATAAATGTATTATAGTCTCTAGTTATATTGAGATGTTTATGTATTGTTTTCTAGTGAATCAGTCTATTCAAACATGTAGTTTAATATCAGCTACACCAGTCTTTACCATTAACAGAGGGTTGGTTTTGAAGGTGAGGGCGGGCTAGAAAATTAGGATAAGGAACTAGTCCTTGCTATCCCACTATCTGGTAAAGAGCTCACTGTTCAGAGTCAAAGATTTACAAATATATATGCCAGTAATCTCAACTGAAATTATTCTAGAACCTAAACTTCAATTTAGAAGCTTTTTCATTGCTTCCACATTTGATTGGCTGGCTACATACATATCAAGAAGCAAGCACAAATGTAGAAATTTAACTGCAATTTTAGTGAATCAGCATCAGAAAAGGAGAATGAAGCGACTTTCCGAGGAAACAACTGAATCACTTTTGCCTCCTCTGTTCAAAATCTCGGCCCCAAAACGTACGATTCTCCCTCAAATCGAAGCCAAGCTCAGAGTGCCCGCGATATTTACTAGCGCGAGGTCGGCGGCAGAGCTGTCAAGAGGGAAGAGTTCTTAGCCACATCAGTCAAAGGAACCCGAATGGAATCGCAGAGGGTGTGTGACAAGGAAGACAGAAACGAAACTCAGCGGTACTTTAACTACAAGAGCGCTTTCCCCCCAAAGAGGCTGCTCTCTTGGGATACATCGGTTCTTCCCCTAAACACAAAATAAGCTCTTTACTTTTTTCCAGCAATCCCCTTAACGCCGGGAGCTACAGTCCCATTGACTTCCAACTATCAGCATCTTCGTCCTAGGCAGAATCTTGGAAGACTAGCACCCTCCGCTTCGTGCCCGAAAATGTTCCCGCCGCCCCAACTTCGGGCTCAGCAGGGTCTCCCGCTCACCTCCGGAGGAAGGTAGGGGGGGTTGTTGGCCTTGCCACCTCGGTATCTCCCGTTCTTCTTCCTCCCCTTGGAAGAACCGCCGCCGCCGCGGCCTCGCAGGGCACCCCCATTCCCTCCCCCCACGGGCCGGCAGCACCCCCCAAACAGCTCGGACACCCGCGAGTCCATCCTGGGCCAGCTGGCAGACCCACGGCAGGACCTCCGCCGCTGCGGACGCCTCTAAGCCCGGGACTGGGCTTTTGACGGCTACCCTCCACTCTGGCGCTTGGCGTCAGAAAGAAGCGCAGGGCACCACGGGAAACAGTACCCCAGCGGCAACACAATTGGACTACAACTTCCAGCGTCCTCTTTTCCGTGGAAGGCATCGCTTTTCCGACAACTACAGAGGCGAATAAGATGGGTGCGAGAGCCCTCTCTTTGCAGAAGGCGAGTCGAATTAGTGTCGGCAAAACAACGGGGAGCCTGGTAACATTGCAAATTGCATAAAATGCATACGCTTTCGGGCCGTCAGACTCCTAATTTTTTTTTTTTTTGCTTCCAATAATTTCTCTGAACAGAACGCAGGACTACAACATCAAGCAACCTCGGGGGCGATTAAATCAATTTAGGATTTTTTTTTTTTGTAGCGTCTCGAACAAAAATATCCCAATAAAATACTTCTGTCTGCTTCAGCTTTATTACCGCAGGAGCATCATCCTAAGACATCCTTCAGCTTTGGGATCCTAAGAAAAGTGTGATTTAGTATACTAATATAGCCATTTTTCAGACAGAATTAGGTCACAATTTACATTAAAACAAAATTTTGTATTGCAAAATGCAAGATAAAATGTTAGGGACATAATATTTGCTTTCTGCATTTGAATTCTAACACTGAATTCAAGTTATTTTAAAAAATACTAATTTACATAGGAGATGAGAATAAAATTTTATCACCTTTTAAATTACAGGCACATACACACTCACCTGTAACTTCACAATTTATATCAAATACATATGCTGAATTGTTAAAGAGGGTTAGTTATCACACATTTCAAATGGCTACAGTTTTATCTATCATTTTATTTTTTAAACTGATTCTTACTATCATATCTTCGAACATCACAAAAGCAGACTTTCAACAGAAACATAATTTCACAAAATTTAAATAGGGAAAAAAATCCTTTTTTAAATACAATTTCCAGAGGAATAATGTTTTTCATTTTATATTCTGTTTTGAATTATGATGTGACTGTGCCATATAATAAATGTTATAATTGCCTTGTTAGCTAGCAGTAATACATTAAAAATGTGCTGTTGTACTGTTTATAATGTGTACAGTAGTCATTTCAGTCACAAACTAATAAGATTAAGTTCACAGATTTAATTCCCCAGTTTAAACAAAACAAAGCACATATGTTTTAGCCTAGGCATAATTTAATTATAAAAGCAGTTAAACTATAGATTTTTTCATGTAATCAGAACAGATGCTTCTCCCACTTCAAATTAGTGGGTTATTTTATTTACAAATACAATCACAGCCGCTTGTAACACCCTCAATACGAGATTGCTGTTAGGTCTTGGCAACATGTTGCATCGTTTGGAATGAATTGCCCTGGGTAGGAAACACATTGCATCAGATTCAGCTGACTATATACAAACTCTACATGATTAATTTATTATGAAAATAAAGTAGAAATACTGAAAGCATTATTCAGATTGACAGGGAAACTCAAGTTCAACTGTCACCTGGGTTTTCATCGCAACCACACTATCATTTTAAAAATACACAATGTTTTTTAATTTTCTGCCCAGAACTTGTTGGAAGTTTGTCATCATAATGAAGTGATGGGAAAGATATTCCAAGATTCTCCTATCCCAATATATTTTAAACTAACGAATAATGGTATACCTCTCAAAATATTTATCACAATGGTTAGTCATAAGTAGCTATTAAGAGTTAAACCAGGAGATCCTGCATTTATTTACGATTATTAACTTTCATTTGGGCGCGATAAAATGGGAAGATTTAAGTTAAATGGGGACTTGTAACGGAGGCAAATTCGCTTTTTGTATTTTCCCGGAAGAGGAGGAAGTCTGGTCACCTTACTTTCGGCAAATATTTGAAGTCTAAATTTAGCAATGAAGGCAAACTCGTTTCTTCGACTAAGTTACGCTTTTTGAGCCTCGGGCCACAGGTAAAGTTTAAAAGTTCGTTTGGGAGCGGGGATAATCTAGGCAGTTCTTCTGAGGATCATGCAAATAGCTGCCCTTAGCCTAAAGTGACCCGTGTAGCATCTATATTTTAATCACACCATAAAGTCAGGCATCAAGACAGGCCTGGCAAGCAAGACTGGCCAGCGTGACCATTTCAGAAAAAGCCGCAGAAACATACAATCTCTAGCTAGCCCATTCAGGCAAGGGCGTTCAACTTACCCGAGACAAAGATGGCGCCAGGAGAATCGGCCAGCGCTCCAATGACGTATAGGCGACATTCCCATGATGCTCCGTGAAGGCGGCCATTCAAACCGGAGTAAAGGTGAGGTACAGAAGATGGCCGCGCCGATAGCAACGCCACGAGAAGGTAAGGCTGCAGCGCCACCCGGGTGCGGTTTTTCCCCCCTTTCAAGGCGTCTTGGGGGGGGGGGCTTGGACAAGGCTTCCCTTCCGCTCCTCGGGCCTTTTTCTTTCGTTCTTGGGCAAGCAGATGGGCAGCCACACACGATGTTTACCTCCTCTCCTCTCCTCTCCTCTCTTGCAGCCGACCCGCTGAAGCCCGCCGAGACCAGCCTAAAGCTCCGCGAGGCCGCCACCGTGTCTGTGACTGTGGCGCTGACGACTCAGCCGGCGGCTCCGGCTCCTGGGAGCGCCTTCTCGTTGTCCGTCGTCTTTCCCGGCTCGGTCACCTGCGAAGGATGCTTCCGTTTCACCTGCGAGCTTTTAAAGCACGTCCTATACCAGAGGCAGCAGCTGCCTTTGCCTTACGAGCAGCTCTCCTGCTTCTACCGGATGCAGCAGCTGTCGAAACCCGCTAGCCAGGTGAGACACGACTAGGCGGGAAACGATGGCTGCTGCTCCCTCGAGTGGACGGAAAGACGGGCTCCTCTGCTTTTGCTTGAGGCCAGCGGAAACCGGCATTAGGCCCGAATGATGGTTTGTGTTATGGGGAGTCTATTCTTTGCCGCTTTTCCTCTCGTGAGAAAAAAAAAATTCTCGGGGGCCAGCATAAACTTGGTAGTAAGAAGAGTGGAATTTCGCATTTTAAAAAATATGAGAGGAAGAAGGGGTGCTTTAATTTACAGCAACTGGCATGCAGCAGCTAGCCAACATTGATTGTTCTTGAAAAAGCTTAATGGCTTACAAAACAGCCTATCCAAATATCAGGGAGTACTGTGTGCCATAAGATAGGTGTTGCAATAGAGAAGACATGCTTACACGGTCCTAGTAAAAGGTACATTTTAAGAAGGATCCTGGAGCATAACCACCTTTCACATTTATGGAATAAGCAGGAAATACAGGTAGTCCTCAACCTACATCCACTATTGAGCCCAGCATTTTTGTTGTTAGGTGAGACATTTGTTAAGTGATTTTTGCCCCATTTTATGACCTTCCTTGCCACAATTGTTAAGTGGATTATCATTGCAGCTGATAAGTTAGTAACACGGTTGTTAAGTGAATCTGGCTTCCTCATTAACTTAGCTTGTCAGAAGGTTGCAAAAGGGAATCACATGACCTGGGACACTGCAATCGTTATAAATATCAATCAATTGCCAAGTGTCTGAAATTTAATCACATGACCATGGGGATGCTGTAATTGTTGTATGAGTGAAAAACTGTCATAAGTCTATTTTTTCAGTGCCGCTGTAACTTTGAACAATTATTAAATGAACTGTTGTTAGTTGAAGACTCTCTGTTTTGGAGATAGCCATTCCTACAAAAAAACAATCCTGCAGTATGTTCCTGGAAGTTCACTGGAAGCTAGTGCAGATGTTATATTTAGTAGAAATGTTACATAATTAAGCTTAGGCATGTGAATAATTACTGACACTGCTGCATTCTGGATCAATTGTAACTTATGAATGATCTTCAAATGTAGCTCCTCGTAGGTGCATTATGAGAATCCAAATGTAAGGTAGTTAAAGCATAAATGGTAGTGAGAAGGCTTTCTACTACTGTTTTCCCAGCTATCTAGGAAAGGATGCAATTGCTGCAAGTGATAGAACTTTAGAAGGGCCTTCCTAGCTATGATAGCCACCTGGTGTTTGAGGAGGAGCCAAGAGTCTACGAGGATGCCCAAATTGTATACCATCTTGGTCTACTCAGAATGCTACTGCATTCAAAGCCAAAGATGACGGCTCCCCAACTCTGAGAGGTCCCAAACCTATAACCACTCAGTTTTGCCAGGATTAAGCCTGAATCTATTCCTTCCCATCTGGCCTTCAGACCCTGAGGAAGCATCCTGACAGCTTCATTTGGGTGGCTTGAATTAGGATGTATAACTGGGTATCATTATCCTACTGATGATACCAATCTTGTACAGCTGGAGGACTTCAGTCAGTGGCCTTGTGTTGATGTTAAATACAAGCAAGATGACAACTGAATAAATATGCATGTATCTCTCCATTTATCATAGCAGTAGATACCTTTTTTTATAATAAGCTGGAATGGGGTTCTAAATAATATGTGAATACTTTGCTTTGAAATAAAGTGTTTCCTTATTCCTTTTATGCTAAATTATGCATCTCTTAAATCCCCTAATTTCATAGGAAAAAGACATGGTCAAGAAGGTTTATCTGAAAGATCAGGACAACAAAAAGTGCCAGCAAGTGTTGAATGATCTTGAAGGTGTTTTCCAGCACTTGGAAATCATGTTCAGTTTGACACTGGTCCCACGAGTTCTTATTTTGCTTGGAGGTACAGCTGTTAACCCCAGAGAGCTCTATGAAATCAACTTACAAGATATATCCATGAGTGGCACCGAAGAGAGTTTGTCAACCTCAACCTGTGTTCGCAAGCTATTCCGTTCTCTTTTCATGGCAGATGTGTTCAGTGAGCTTCAGGCTATTCCCACTATGAGTGTCATTGTTATGGTTCAAGGGCATCGCAACTGTGGTATTGACTGGTTTAGACCCAAACTAAATTACAAAGTGCCAACTCGAGGAAGGAAATTGACTGTTAACTTATCATGCAGTCATGGAAATAGTACAGCCCTTCCCACCTGTGAAGAAATAAATTCTGTCTGGGATGATTATATATGGTTCCAAGCTCCAGTAACAATCAAAGGCTTTAATTATTTTTCTTGATAAATATTTAAGGAAAAGTTCTTAACTAGCTATGTTAATCTTGTGTTTCTTACATTGCAAAGAACAATTCCCCTGTTTAAATTTTCTCTTCTTTCAGAAGTAATGTTAAACTCTGCAGTACAGAGGTGAAAACGTACATATGTCTATGATGACAGAAAGTACTTCTGGAGAACTGATTCAGTGTCTTGCCAAAGCCTTATGGACCCATTAACCTGTATTCTGTGCTGCAGATTTTACTATAAAAGGATACTTGAAAATACCTGTGCCAGTATATACCTGATTCAATACTGAATTTCCAGTGGAATATGTGCATCTATGCAAATTTGATGTATTCCAGTTTTTTTTTCCAGAAATACAATGAAAGCTACATAAATTGCTACTTTTTTCAATAGTGAAAATTGTCTAAAGATTGACTGTAGTTCAGGACAGCATAGTTGAACACCCCTCTGGAGGAATAATGGCTATTTGAAATTGATATTCTCTACAGCAGATGTATGATACTTTTAGGTACATTTCTATTTCAAGCAGCAATTCAGACTGATGTTCTCTAAATTGACAGGTGTGATTACAATTACATGCTTATCTAAGAATGTGTGAATGATCTCCAGTGGTTTTTTTTTTTAATCATACTTTTGGAATACTACTCTGTCTCTGATTTTTATTAGTAGAGCGTAACATTTTAAAATTACTCGTTATGGAAATAGAAGTTGTGTTTAATTGTTCCTATAAATTCATTTTAAGATTGTAAAATTTGATTTTGATTTCCTGTTCAGTTGGATTTACCAATACTGTCAGAAGTAATAAGTTAGATGAAAAAGAAATCTTACTCCCCTATTAGCTATTGCACATACTTGGATTGTATGAAGACAGATGAATATTGGGCAAGCATTATGAGACCACATCTAGTCTCATTCTGAAAGAAGCCTGATGAAGGAAGACAGGTGGGACAATACAGTAACTCTGAAAATGGATATGTTTCTTAACCAGTTGTTCTGAGGCACAAAAAGATGTAAGGGGCTTTTGGAGGCAGTCTTAAATGTTTTCATGCCAAAGTTTAAATCTGGGACAGATATAGCAATGGCCAAGCACTCTCTGAGGCTGTGGTATTTATATAACCACTCTGCTTAAAGTGTTTTATTATATCTACACTATAACGGATTGTCTTCCTTTGTGTCATTGTATACTATACTGTTAAGAGGACCAATCTGAAGACAATTATTGTATATTCAAATACTTCTGTGCTTAGAAACAATATGCTGTAGAGAAAATAACCATATCTAAAAAATGAAATTCAACTTTTTTTCCAAGTATTAATCAATTTGGAAAACTATATAAAATGATCTGTTTAATTATCTGATTGTGAAAGTGTTGCTTCATTGAACTATAAAAATACCCGTCCTATTTCAGTTTGTATAAAGAAGTAAATCTGAACATGAACCACTACTTTGTAGAAACCTTGCTTTAATGTCGGTATTGTCCTTTTTTAAATCTTATATGACTGTAACTGCTTCACACAGAAGAAGAAAATCTAATTCTTTCATACTTAAACATTAACCATATTTTGCTGGAAGTAATTCAAGCTGCTCAGAAGCTTGCCAAGTTTGGTTGATAAAGCATTTTCTGAAAAATGCTACATGGTTTAATTCAGATGTTCCACCTTCTTCACAAATTGTCTGATGTCTTGAGCCAAGAGCTCTGGTTCCTCAAAGGCAGCAAAGTGCCCTCCCCGGGGCATGTAGGTATAGGTGACAATGTTCTTAAATTTCTTCTTTGCCCAAGAGCGTGGGCAATGAAGAAGTTCATTTGGGAAGGCAGCAATGCCAGTTGGAACATAAATGGCAATCCTGTGGTAGAAAAAAGAACATAGCTAAGAGTCCATTCATTAACAGATGCTATTTTTTCTTAGTCACATTGGTGTCAGTATAGGTCCAAGATGATTGGGAGAATCTAACTATTTTCATATATAGCCAAATTATTAATTTTTTTATCCTATTTTAAATTAACAATCTGCTCAATAGTAGCCTTTGTTTTTTAGAAATTTAGACTTAACATTTACTTCCTATAGAATTAAACTCTAGGCATTCATCACCACAGGTTTCATGTGGGCAAAGGAATTTTGATTATGGCCTTCACATCTAAAACCAGCAAATTTCAGATTTACATCTAATTTAGTTTCAAAATCAGAACACTTTCTTCCTTCTTACTTGGCATCAGGAGTAGTATTTGGATCCTTGGAGAGATTCTCTTTATAAAAACGCATTGAAGGCACAATGGAGGAAGTCACCCAATAAATCATTATATTTGTCAGAAGTTCATCCAGAGTGTATTTTCTAGAAGGGGCATCACATTTTATTAGTAGAGCTTAAATGCATGTTAGTGTAGGTCACAAGTTTAGAGCAAAGAGTAAATAATTGACCAGCAACTATTGGCTGATGCTAAGAGATTTCACAGGATTAAATACTTAGGATTAAATACTTGCAACTCATCTGATATAACTTGCAACTGTTCATATTTCAGCAATATTCTCTAAATCATTCTAACCCAGCAGTCATATATTTGCAATTTTTCTTTCTTTTAACATAGTTGTTATAGATATCTTACCTTTCCAAATTCCCATCTTCCATGTTGAGGAATGATTTATCTGTCCATGTGGAAAATTTCTCTAGGATGTATGCAGCAAGACCTACAGGGGAGTCATTCAGGCCACACCCTAAGTGAGAAAAGTAGCATGTTTACTTTCACATTACTTGCTTGCGTTGGCGCTAGAAACTCTACTGTACTAAGAAGATTTGTGAGCAAGAATTAGATTTTAACCAATTCTCATTTTGACATCACTATGGTACCTTTATTCTTTTTATAAGTATGAAACTAACTTGACTGAAAATACTATCTTCGCCAGTATTAGAAATATTGAGTGTTGGGTTGCTGCTAAATACTGCATGCTGATTCTCAAAGCATCCACACACACTTTTTTCCTATGGAAGTAGATATTTGAATAGCATCTTCTGTGGTTTAGTTATAGGTCTGAAATTGCTTTTGACTTCCACTGTCTGGAGGTAACATGAACATACACAATGCAATCTGTAATGCTGTCGACACTACTAACATCGGATATTCTTGCTTTGACAACAGATGGAAATGTAGCATTTTACTCTTTTGCTTTTAGAGTTAGTTGATGCTGGGAGGGGGAATGTGGACGAGAGTCCAGTTAGTCATAACAATAATAATCCAACCTTGGGAATCCAAGGTTATTGCGCCCAGAGTTGATAAAGATTTGGCGGGGTGGAGAGCTGGGGAGAAAGTGCGCTTCAAGCTAATTGGGGAATGTGATTTATGACTGTTAATTGGAGGAGGGAATTGTGCTTTGTTACTTTGTGCTCAGGGGAGGGGAATTCAGTTTTTGGCTTTAACTATGTAGTACCGATACTTTGTTTCTCAAATAAAAGATTATTTAAGATAAATAATACCTCGAAGTTGTTTTGAAGAATTTCATCTGTCAGAACCATGACATTAAGCCAAAAACTATAATTTTTACCTAACTATCTTGGGGTCTCAAGTCCCAGTCCCTATCCCTAGAATTGAGGGATAGGCTGACAAAGATTCAGGGAAGATTTCAACATGGAGAAAGAAAGAACGCCTGAAACCAGCACCCCAGTGGTGGCTGCTATCCCAGAGGGGGGGAGTGCAAGCCAGTGCGCCGGTGGAGAAGGAACTTTTTTGCCCAAGCTGCGAGGGCAGCTGATTTGGTCATTGGAATGGACCTTACCCAATAGAGACTCCAGAAACCTCGAGACGGCCTTGCCACAATCAAGTGCTTCAAAGGCGGACGAGGTTGAGCTGCAAAGAGGGGATTCCCACACATTGCGTTCCCCAGATCTCTGAAGAACCACAAAATCAACTACCGCTGAAGACTCGGGTGAGTGGAAGTAACTGTCTGGAGCCCGTATCAATCAATGGAGAAGTTGGTGGAAAAATTTGAGGAGCTAGAGATGAAAAGTGGAGAACAGCTTTCCTGTTCCCCATATGCGCGCGATCACAATGATCGGAGAGGCGGCCACCAGCTCTGCCAAGGGGAATCCCCAGTCCCACCTGTGCAGATCAGGCAGCCTCCCTGTCCTCGAAGCCACCTACCATGGCCTCCAGCCACGCGGGGAGAGACAGCTCCTGTCGTCACCCCTCCAAAAGCCCAGATCGTTACTGACGAGATAAGAGCCCGAGCCGTCAACGGATCGACACGCTTAGTGGCCACCCAGCCTAAGACTCATACAGCAGTGGGGGATATCACAGCCTCCACAGGTGGGAGGCCAGCAATTGCTGGCAGTGCAGCAGCCAATCTAAGGGTGGCCGTAGCCACTGGGTGTGCAGGAGCCTTGCAACAACCAGGGGTGATGCAGCCACCAGGGGGTCAGCAACCTCTGGGACTACAGCAGTAGCAGTGGGGCTGGCCACTGCCTCCAAATGTGCAGCAACCGCTAAGGCCCGCAACCGAGGGGGTTCCAACAACAACCAGCCCTGGGACCACAGGGGGGCCTACAGCAACTGGGGATACCATAACCTCCTGCAGGCCAGCAGCAGTGGGGATGGCAGCAGCCCCTGCCCATGCAGCAACCACTGGGAGGCCCACAACAACTGGGGGTGCCATTACAGCAGCCACTGAGACTGGTGGGGGTCGTACAGCAACTGGGGATGCCACAGCCGCCAGCAATGCAGCAACAGCTGTGGGCGGTGGCAACAGCCCCTGGGTGTGCAACTGCTGAGAGGCTTGCAGCAACTGGGGATGCATCAGCCTCCATGGAGCCAGCAACAGTTGGGGGTGCAACATCCACAGTGGGGAGGCCAGCAACCATTGATGGCACCACCTCTTAGAGCAACCTTCGATAGAGACCCGGAGAAGCCGATCTTCTTTCTCAACCAGGTCCACTCTCACTTGAACCGCTGTGCCTATTTCTATCCGAATCTAGCTGCTGTGGTCAACATGGTTGCGTCCAGCTTGGAAGGAGAAGCATCTGAATGGCTGAAAAATTTATATAACGAACAAGCATCCAAGTTGGAGGACCCCCCCATCTGTTCCTCCTAGGACTGAAAGCAAGGTTTGAGGACCCATCCATTGCCCTCAAAACGGAGGAACAAGTCCACAAAATAAAATAAGCTGGCAGGCCTGCACTGGAATACGTATGAGAGTTTCGCAAATAGCTGGCCGAATAGAGAGGTGGCCCGAACAATCCCTAGTCCATCACTTCAAGGAGGGACTAGATGACCACATCTCCCAGGCCTGTATCTATCGAGCAGCCCCTGATCAGCTGCAAGAATGGTACTAGGCAGCAGTAAGACTAGATGTTCAACTCGCCCGCTATAAGAAGCCACACTCACAAGAAGCCGAGTCGAGGCCAAATCAACCCAAACGACAGCCAACCCTCCGAAAGCCTCCAGATATTCCCTACCCAGTCATGTCTGACTCTTCATGCCCATCTCTATATCCTAGCCATAGGAGCTATTACTGTCCAAATATACTTCTGTGGTCATGTGGCTGGCATGACTATGTGTTGAGGTGCATGAAAAGCCATTACCTTACTACCGAAGTGGTATTTATTTATATATTTACATTTTCATGCTTTCAAAGTGCTGGGTTGGCAGGAACAGTAGCTCACCCTATCACATGGTACTTGGGTCTCAAACTGCCAATCTTCCGGTTGACAAGCCTAATGTCTTAACCACTAGGTAATTCCGGCCTCTTAAAATTCTATTGGAAATATAAAAATGAATGTGTCTTGATTTTTTTTACTTTTTGAAAAAATATTTTATGTTCCAAAATTTGTGGGTAGAACAACATGACTCTGAAACTTGTTGATTCATTGTTTCAGTTGGTGCTGCTTGTCTTCCTTAAAATGTTTTGTACATTAACTTCAGATTTGTTTTAGTTTATGTATGAGTTTTTGATCTTTCATAAAGAATTGCGTTTACTAACCTGCTGTATCTGGTTTGGTGGCCTGGAGATGCATATACCCAGATTCACGCAATAAATGATATATATGCTTAAAAAAAGGGAACATGCGCCGTGCATCTTCTCTGGTTAGGCCCACCAGCCATGGTACATAGGCTCCCAGTAGTAAGCTTACCATGGCTCCCAAACCATATTTTGATATAAAGATCATATTGACATGAAGTCCTTTTACAGATCTGAAATCAAGGAAAAGAAGGTCATCCTAAATATGTTTACTCAGTGGTAAATGAGATATATTAGTAAGAGTATACCTTGTTTCTCCAAAAATAAAACCCGGTCTTTTGGTTTTTTTTGCCTCCAAAAGAGGCACAAGATCTTATTTTCATCAGGGGCCTGTGTCTTTTCCACTCACCTCTGGCACTGACAGCCCCACTCAGCTGGCCCACTTCTTCTGTGGCCAAAAGAGCAGCTTCATTCTGCAGCTGAGAATGGA